CGCTGGGCGGTGTCGCAGGGTGCCCCAGGCTCTTGCTGCCCCCACGCCGTGTGCCCGTCGCTCGGGAGGGGGAGCGGAGGCGCCTCTGTTGGCAGCCGCGTCCGTGCCCCCGCAGCGATGCGGTGGCTCCGGGGCCTTCTCGGGGCTGGCGTGGGCGCCCGCGGCTGTTGGCTGGCATAATGGTGCCGGTGTTGGCCGCCGTGGCCTGTGCGTTGTTCTTGTCTCCGTTGCCTGAACGGTTTATCGGTGTCCGATGGCTTTGAGCCCCCAGCCTGGCAGCTGCTGTTGCGGTGTGGAGCTCTTTCAGGGTCGCGTCTGCCGAGCGGTGGGTTTGCAGGGCCGTTATCTCGAGCACGCATCGTTACTTTCTTCTCGGCAGCTGCCTTTCTTCGTTTCTTTCTTCTGATGCACCTGCTCGAACGTTCCTGGCTCTGGGTTTGAGAGGAGCAGGACGGAGGTGGGTGCAACATACGCTAGTTTGGGTACAGTTGCTTCTTGGGTTACCTGAACAGAAGAGGATGAGACAGATACTAAAGCTGCCCAAGGGAAAAAATGCTCCTCCCTTAATCAACGTTCTCTAAAACGCATGAGAAGAATGTTTAGCTAAGATCACTTAACAATAGGGCTTGAATGAGGAATTGGGGAGGGGTGATCGGAGCTGAGGGTACAAGGTTTTTCTTGCCAAAGAAGCGTTTGGTTTGTGTGTTTGCGGGGCAGCTCGGTGATGGGAGTGCCCTGCCACGAGCTTACCCGTTTAACTGTGTTTTGCTTGCCACGCCCTAGTGCAAAGGGCTGGCAGACTCCATGCTGGGGCTTTTCTCGTGGCCCTTCTTGTTATCCTGCAGAGGTCTGTTTCCATTAATAAAAATTCCTGCTCGGTTACTTATTCTGTGATCTGTTTGCAAAGATTAGTGCAGCTGGAAGCTGTGAGTCACCAGATCTTCCTTTAGTGATTTCTGGTCTTATGGTCAGCCAGTCGTTCCCTCTGCTGCAGCTTTCATGGTTACAGTGCAGTTACCTTCATCAATATCTTGATATGGTGGTAAGATCACTTTTCACCCCGAGAATGTATTTATTAGCAAGGACGTCCTTTTTGTAATCATTCAGCCTTCAGTTCTTTCCGTTTTTTTTCTGCCCACCAGCTGATACTTTGAGTAAGGAACTAAAATAGATGTTCAAATTAGTGGGTGTGCTGTTTCTTTTCCAGGCTAAATTCCACAAGACTTGTGCACTAACTGACCATGAATAACAAATTGCCTTCCACGAGGCTAACACTGTTAAAAGTATTTGTCAAAATTAGGCTGCATTCTGTTCCAGTAGACTTGGATCTGGTGCATTGCTTCAAAAAAATGATGATTGTGCACATTTGGGGAGTGTATTAATTCCACTTATTGAACAGCTGTGATAGTTTTCACTTGACATCTCATGACCCAGAAAAGATTTGCAAAGATGAGAGAAAACACAGGTGGAGAAGCTGACTTGCAGAACTCCACTCTGCTCCTGCCTTCCTGATTATTTGCTATTGGCGTACCTTAGTGTTGAGTTGGGACTGTGTCTAAGTTTTTCAATTCCTGTTTTCAACTGCAATTTTGCTAGACTGCAGGTGTGCTTTTTTTGGTCAATTTTAGATAGCCACATCTGTAAATGACACTAGTTTATTTTAACTTATTAATGTCTTGTTTGAAACATGGTGTGCGGCAGATTCAGCTTGCTGTCTCCACCAGGTCTCATTCACCTGTTGACTTCTCATTAGGGACCTTATTTGCTGCCCTGTCACCTTCTTAAACAACTCCTCTCTCTCCCTTCTTTTTTGTGACTTAGTAAGCTCTTCCTCGAGCTGCAGTAATGCGGTGCATTGTGGGAATAGAGGAATAACATTCCAGTAAACTTCAGCTGCTTCTGAAACAGCCTGTGTGGAGCTGATTCCGTGTTTTCAAATAAAAGTGAAAAGTACAGAGTGTGTGTATGGCATGATGTGCTTTCAAGCTATACCCAGTGTTGATAGATTTTAAACCTGTATGGTAGCATTTTAAGAAGAGAGAGTTTATGCTGTCCTCCGTGTCTCCCCCCCCCTTTTTTTTTTTTTTTTAAATTTGACACTTGCCACAGTTTTAGTAATGTAGGACTTTTTTTTTTTTTTTTTTTTTTTTCCTTTTTGGATGCAGTCATGCTTCTTCCCTCTCCTCTGTAAAAACATTGAATAATAAATTACAGAGTTGGAGGGGACTTTTATAAGTAGTTGTTCAGTTTGTTCACCTGTCCGAAGTCAGGACCAAGTCCCCACACAGGTGATTTTGCAGGCTGTTGTACTTACCTCCCAAGAGCGGGACTGTCTCTGGGATCAGGCACTTGAAATGGAGGCGCGGGCCTCTGGCTGAGCACAGTCCTGGCAGGCTCTGCCCTGCAGCCTGCGGGTGACCCAGCTCCAGCCCCGGGGACCCACCGAGTGCCCGAGGCGCATGGCGCTGGGCCGGGGAGGTGACACCTTCCATCCCTCCATCCTCTGTGCATAGCTGTAGTTGCAGCGACGTGGTCTCTTCTGCGCTCTCCTGGGCTGGTGTGGCCGCTCGGCCACTCCCAGCTCGGCACCCCGCTCCTGATGCCGGGGATGGAGAGTGCCTCAGCGGAGGAGTAACGCCAGGTTTTCGTAAAGCAAATTTGTGTGTTACACTGGCTGGTGTTCTTTTAATATTTCCTGCTTGTGTCAGTACAAAGAAAGTTTTTTTGATGTTGTTACGCACAGTGTCTCACACTCTTTCTGTATTGCTGCAGTTGGGTCGGGTTGTGACGTACCCAATATGGCTAATCTACACCGCTATCCTGAGGCTCTTCAGAAATCCCCATCCTGCGATTACCTTGAAGGATCCTGAAGTGAAGTATGCGTTGAGGCTGATTGATAAGGAGGTAAGAGCATGTACAGTGCTGAGCACCACCTCTCCATGCATACTGTGGAATGCTTATAGCTTCTGAAACCTGCCGTAATGTTGCAGCAGGGCAAATATTTGTATTTTAAGGACAGGACTTCTTTATAAATGCTCCTTGCCTAGTGTAATCAAGTTGTGCAAGCAGCTTGTTTCCAAGCAAGTTAGAGTGGGGAATGCTGCTTTAGAAATGCCAAAATTCGTAGTTTCTGTCACGTGTCGTACATCAGCAGAAATTCCTAAACTCTGCAGTGCTAGATCGGCTGTGAGACAGAAGTCATGCTATCAGGCAGAGCAGGCAGTTTTTTCATGGTTAGTTGTAGTCTGTGTACTAGTTGTCAGCACTGTGTTGATACGGATTCATGTTATTGGATTTATGTACTCTGATGTGTTATGGGAAGACGGGTGTTGAAATGGTGTAGTCCTGACAGCACCTGAGCTGCCTCAGATTCTCTTTCTTCCTCTTGAAAGTAGAAGCCGTTCTGTACCTCCCAGGCTGCTTGGCCGGGTTTTCAGAGGAAAGTCATGACCCTTTCAGGGGTGGATCTTGCTATCAGAAATTGGTAACTCAACTTGTGGAAAGGGGACCAAAGCCACAAAAGATGAAAAGTCCAGATTTTCATTGGATAAACACCCTCAAATGCATGAGATAGAAATCTTGGCTTTTCAGGTGTGAAGTCAAACCTGAAGATACTTCAGTGTTGACTTTTTAAATTAATGAGCTAGACAGAAAGTTATCAGAGTTTGGATGAAAAGGACTTTGAACTGTAACAGAGTTCTGTTTGTGGTATAGGGAGTGCACCAGTAGCTTGGCTTTCATTTGTCCCGTCTGTCAAAGAAAATTGAGTGTCATTCCAAGTCCTAGTTTCGTGGGAACTGAAAGCTTCCCTGTGGCTTGGGCTGGGCAGCATTACTGAGTTTATTTCCCATGTGTACTGCACAACGTTGTTACATACTCCCCACTTCCACATCAGGTCTGTAGCACGTGGTTGCAGGTACAGTCTGCCTGACCAGCAGAAGGGGAGGGAAGCTTGAGGCACTGCATGTGCTTCTGAGAATTAATCTACTTGCAGGTTTCTGCTGTAGCAGTTTGTAACAGAAGTTACAGTTCACTTGCTGCTTTTTTTTTGTTGTTGTTGCTAAGTACTGATCTTTTTCTCACTCTGTTTTTTGTATGCTTGTTTAAAACCTTGGGATGGAGGAACGTTCTTACATAACCAGGTCAGATGCTGCTGCATGCAGTACCTTGCTCAACTGAGAATACTTGACTGATGAATGTTTATAACTTTTTGCTGAAATGGGAAATGTGCCCAGGAAACAGAAGTTAATTTGGAAAATAATAACTTGATACAGTAAGTGCTAGTAGCTTCTAACATCCTGTCAAAAAATCTAGTGCAAACACTCTGATCTTTGGTAATAAACTTCAGTGTTGCCCCATCCACCTGTCTAGAAAAGGTGAGTTTAGTCAGTCTTTCCATTGTGCTTCAGTTTGTATTTTACAAGCTATTAAATTTGAAGTGGATGAGAACTTTAATCTAAAACTACCTGTCATTGCACAAAAACATTTTAACTTGAGAATTGTGGCTCTTTGGTGGTTGTGGAGCTTGCTCAAGACATCTGTGTGGTTGGCTAGAGTTTACCTTCCATTGCAGGAGGAGTTGCAGTACGTTGGTTTTATCTTGTAATGTTGCTCCTTTTGCCTGCTCAGCCTAGTAAAAGACACTTATATTTTAAAAGTTTCTGCTATTCCCATTACCATGTTGGTATTTATGATTCCCTTTTTATGACTATGAAGCTGCCAGTACCTTCACCAGCAGAGCACCTAGATGATTTGTGTTTAAAATAAAAAATGAACAAATGTATTCTGTGTTTTGGGGGTAGCTGGGGGTTGTAATTTTTAACGTGATGAATTTCAATTACAGTATGGCCCTGCAGAAAGTTTTCTTGGTGACTGTTCCTTTGCTTAGGAAGGGAAGTAGCTTAGACCAATTTCACAGCTAAAGAAAATGGAGTGGTGATTGCAACAGAAAACATGAGGTTCATGTCCTAGGCTGCTGTACAGCAACACACGTATGTGAAATTTCAGAAGAATTCCACAGTTACATAGAAAGTTTTCAGGTGTCTTCAGTCTGAAGTTTGGAAGCCCTTGCTCTAGAGAATGCCTAGTTTGACATATATGTGTCTTTTAATGCAGCAGAGATTTCTGTGTATGAAAGCTGGAAGTCAAACGTACTGTTTTGTTGAGCAGTTGCAAGCAGAAGCCTTGCTGCCTCTATCCACTGTTTGCCTTTCACCCACCAGCTGAAATGTTAACAACTGCCCAGATTCCGTGTGTCAGACTCCTGTCTGTCGGACGGAGAAATAGGGGCACAAAGCATAGGGAAAAATTGTCATAATATAGTTAGGTGTGCTGGTTTAGTTTATGCCTTAGAAAAGCCCACAACCTCAGGGGTTTTGTAATGGTAATTTGTTGCCTTTCAGTGGCTTCAGCAAGCCCTAGCCTGCAAAACCTGTTGTCCAGCTGTGTGTTTGGCTGTGAGTGTGGGAGGTCCTCAGCCACTCCAGACAGCAGTGGGTGCTGGCAGCCCGAGCCCTGGGGCTCGCGGGCTCAGGGCAGCACCAGGTGGTGGCTTGGGGCAACACGGCCAAGGTGACCCCATGCTGGAAATGGCTTCTGTGTCCTCTTGCAAGTCTAGCCTTGACTATCGGCTTGCTGACCGGTGTGCACGGTGTCCTGGCCATGTCACAGGGGCGCGGTGTAGGCGTGCTGATCTGGGCACTAGGAATTTCTTGAGCTTCTTCGTGTTTCTACAGTTGTCTCTCGTGGTGCACCAAGATGTCTCTTGCAATGACTTCTCGATACCTTTCTCAGCTTTAATTGATGAGATGATTAACTGGGAGTTCAGAACTTTGCCTTTCTCTATGCTGTTAAAGACTGTGTCTTAAAATAAAGGATTATTGGCAAAATCCAGCCTTGAAGTAGTGAAGCTGGTGCTGAACTTCACATACAGAAACAGCAGCGGTCAGTGCGAGAGCATGTTAGTCCATGTTAGCTGTCTTGCTAGTGGAATTTTCAGTGTCAGTTACTGTTCCTGAAGCAGAGAAGCCCTTTTTAGGCTGCCTTTTTTATCCAGCATTTACCTTAAAATGATTTATTTTGAAGAAAATGTCATCAGTGTGACCAGAGCTCGTTAAGAGAAGACTACACAGACTGTGATGAGAAAGAAGTCTGTTTCCATTGGTTACTTTAAAATCAAAAAACCAAAAACAAATGAAAAAAGAGTTACAATATTTTATAGGTTGTTTCTGAAATTTTCTCTAGAAGGGATATTATATCTCATAGGGCTTTAAAAAAAGAGAGTCTTGAATGAGGCATTAGGCTGTATGCTGTTTGTTTCTTTTTTTGCTGTCTTTTTCAGTCCCATGAACATGACCTGATTTTTAAGAGGTAAAACTTATGTAGTATAAGAAATAACATTTCATTTACTCATTACCAAAATTTTATTCAAGGTGTATGACTTTCCTAGCAAAAGATTAGGACAATTATCCCACCTGGATTGCATAAATTGTCATAATTTTATAATAAAGATCCTATCTAAATAGAGTGCTCTTTCCAATTTTAGTTAAGGATTAATTACATTTTTATGGCGAAAATATTTTTAAGGCTCTTAGGATATCAAAGGGGACCAAGTTGTTGCTTTCTGATCTTCCTGATATCCACTAGTGTCTTCTGAAATTGTATTCTACATTGACATGGTTAATTCATCATGATTTTAAGATGTCAAAATTTTTTTGGCCTTGAACTCCTGCATATTTAAACTTTAAATGAGAATTGAAGAACTGATTAATTTTTATCTTATGGCCTTCTCACAGAAGGCAATGTAAATGTTCATACTGTACATAAAGTTATTGTTTAGTTTTAATCTGCATATGAGTATTTTAATAAGTTTTGCTAGTCACATTTAAATATACCTCAAAACAGTATTTGTATTTGTCTTTTTTTTTTTTTCTTCCTATTTTTACTTCTGTATTACTTCTAAAATATTTTAAGATAAAATTAAGTTTTCAGGGAGTTTGAATTCTAAGTTGACCTCTGCAGGATTGCCATGTTCAGAGAAGTTCATATTTGCATGATGCAAAAATTTCAGATAGGATGCTGCTTTGCCCCAAATATTAATCCTGTGGGAAGACAGGCTAGTGTGTTGGCTTTACAAGTGAAATCACTAACATTAGATCCAAACCACATAGCTGATGGTTCTTTCTATTTTCCTCTTTCAGGAAGTTAGTCATGACACAAGAAGATTCCGATTTGCTCTCCCTTCCATAGATCATGTTCTGGGTCTCCCTATAGGTATGTTCTGTCTTTCCTTGCTGAGAATCCGAGCACTGTTACAGGGTAAGAGATTTTGCGGGGCCCAGGGAAGTTTCCTACATTTTGAACTGTTCGAGTACTGTCCATGTTTGAGCTGGTGTTTAGAGCTTAGCAAGGTTATCCTCATGCTGTGAGTGATCTGCAAGGTCTGACATTTTTTGTATTTGCAGAGAGTGTATTTTCAGCTTCTTTCTGTGAAGACAGTAGAAACAAGTATACGAGTATAGCAACTTGTATTTTTCCAGTCACAGCTTCCTAGTGTGTGTTACTCCCATGGGACTTGGTCTCTGGGGTCCCCTGAGGCAGTGCTCTCAGCTACTTCTCCTCTAACACATGCAGTTTACCAGACGCTCTGCTCACTTCGGAATTTGCAGCCAGTCTCATGGAACTGCTTAATCACCATGGAGTAGATGTTTCCTTAGGCCTTGCCACGTGGCATGTTGCCTTCCATAATAGCTCAGTGCTGTTGTTTCCTACAGAAAGCTAGTGAGGGTGGTAAAAGCAGCTGGGAAGCAGCAGGCTGGGCAGCTGTGGGACAGGTACTGGTGTGCACTCTCCATGTTTACTCCAGCACCAGCATTTTGCTTTTACCACCCGCTGGAGCATTGCAGGGAAAACCACCATTGACTCGGGGGAGAGTGGGATTGTGTATGGCCTCAGGCAGAGGCTGCCAGCCCATGTCCTCTCAGAGCAGGGTAAAGCTCTAACAAGTAAGAGCATAAGGCATGTTTTCCTTTTGGGAGGAGCACCTTGTTTGGGTTTGTACCAATTCCTGTGAGACACGCCCTGGCAGTGGTGCTGTGTGTCCAGAGTCACAGTCTGCAGTGGTCACCATGGGCCTGTTCCTGGAGGGGGCAGTGGCTGCAGCTCCCCTCGGGTCTTCTCAGGCAGGAAACATGTGTGCTGCCAGATTTGTGTAGGCTTTGCTGAGAGGGTCATTTGAGTCATCCTTACATGACATCCATGCATAGCTTCACGTGAATTATGGTTGCTTGTTTCCCGAGTCACCAGGTAGCACATCTTCATTCACCCACTGGTTTGCCTTGCTGTCCCTCCAGCTGTCCCTGGCAAACCAGCTCCTGGTAAAATCCCCTCTTTGCGTTCCCTTAACAGGCCAAGGAGCTGCACTATCTCTGGAGAGCTGCATTTATCTGAAGAAATATCAACTGGGTCAACAGAACAAACTAAAATAACAAAAACCAAATCCCTCCCCTAGGTATCCTTCGCTTGGGTCTCTTCAGGGTGTTGTAATTTTATAGGAAAACCTTTCAAAGGGGTTAATTCTCTTTTCATCAAAAATGTAGACACTGAGAAAAGAAACTGTTGTAGAGAGTTCAGTGAATGTGTGGCAGATTGAAACACAATCTCTACATTCAAATGTTGAGCTGGAGGAATAACAGGGTTAGAGAAGTGATTTATGTCTGGGCAGCCTTAGCAATGGCAGCTAGAAGACCTCCTGGTAGGCATGAGTGATCTGTGGTCAAAATAACAATAGTTACAAACTCAGTTGTAACTAAACTGTAAGAGTTTATAGCATGTTAATAAAGAAGTTTGAACAGCACATGGCAGTTCACCTCTCCTATTACGTACTTTTTACTCGTATGTATGGGGGAGACATATCACATCATCTGCAAGATCTCACATACAGTTAGGGCTCTGGTAAACGTATGTTCATGAAGCTATCAGAACAGATATGATTGACACATAACATCAGCAGTAGAGTTGTCTGCCCTCCCAGATAGAATCTAGGGCATGGTGAACAACTCTGGTAAGGTGTTACACTGTCAGGAAAATGAGAGGAAGAAGTGGTACCCCAAAACAAGGTACTTAGGAGAACTTTGAGACTGCATTTGCAGTCCATGCCAACTCAGTACATCCACTGAGAGAAAAATCTTTTGAAATCAAACTGGTTTTTTTCTTCTTTGTTTACAGGACAGCATATCTATCTGTCTGCACGGATTGATGGAGCTCTGGTTGTTAGACCTTACACTCCAGTTTCCAGTGATGATGACAAGGGCTTTGTGGATCTTGTTGTCAAGGTGAGAATGTCAGATCCACGACTCCGATTTAGAGCCCAGGGTGTGGTGTGGGACAGTGTCAGGTGATCTGCACAAGTCCAGGGAGGTGACATCAGTTGCTCTTGCCTTACCCACCAGCTCTGTAACCCCCTCGTAGGCACCACCAGATCTGTCGGGCAGGATTTGCCCTTAGTGAGGCCACACTGGCTGTCACCAGTCACCTGCTTATTTTCCACGTGCCCCAGCAGAGTTTCCAGGAGGATCCACTCCATGATCTTGCCAGGCACAGAGGTGAGACTGACTGGCCTGTAGTTCCCTGGGTTATGTTTTTTCCCTTGTTAAAAATGGGGGTAATGTTTCCCCTTTTCCAGTCAGTGGGAGCTTCCCCACTCTGCTATGACGTCTCAAAGAGGATGGAGAATGGCTGAGCCCCTTCATCCGCCAGTTCCCTCAGGCCCTGTGGACACATCTCACCAGGGCCCATGGACTTGGGCACCTTCGGGTTCCTGAGATGGTCTCGAACGTGATCTTCTCCTACAGTGGGCAGTTCTTCCTTCTCCCAGTCCCTGCATTTGCCTTCTGTGACTTGGGTGGTGGGGCTGGAGCCCTTGCTGGTGAAGACTGAAGCAAAAAAGTCATTGAATGCCTTCCAGTCTTCTTTTATCACCAGTATACCTATAGAAGCTTTTCTTGTTGCTCTTGACATCCCTGGCCAAATTTAATTTTATCAGGGATTTGGCCTTCCTAACCTGATCCCTGGCTGCTCAGACAATTTCTCTGTATTCCTCATAAATTTCTGTATTTGCATACTGCAGTTTTCCAAAATCTGTGCAGACCTGCAGATGTTCACATGTTTTTTTTTTAAACCTTCTGAAATAAGGAATTAACCTTGCCTCAATTGTCAGCTGCTTCTGAAGCTAATGTACTATGGTCATTATGATCATTAAGAGCAGTGATGATTATTGTTACTGAGCCAGTGTGAATGACTGATGTAATTGGCAAGAATGTGATTTTGAGTCTTATGATAATGTACTTTTGTCTCTTGGTAGCTAGACTAAGCAAATATATTTAAAGCTGATGGGAATTTAAAACCTGAATAGCTGCACTGGATTTCCTCTTAGAATTTTACTCTAAGGTGGTTTTCTTCTTTACAACTAACAGCACCATTTATTGTGAAACCAGATATGACTTTGCCTTTTACTACCCACTTATCTTCATGAGCATGGTGTTGTACACATGACAAGGGAAGAATGTAAATCTTTGACTCAGAAATGTTTTACGAGACTCCTTCCCAGTGTGGCTCTCCATGCATGCAGGTGGTGCTGTTCTTGTAGAAGTGTAGCTAGTCTCAGCTTGAACTCTTTCACACCCAGGTGATTCGAAACAAAAAACCCAGCACAGCTCCAGAAATATAACTACACCCACTGACACCTGTTGGTGACGACTGAATATCCGATTAATTGGTATCCACTTTTGTTGTTGTTCTAACTTTGAGGTGCAAACAGTTGGCATCCCAAGAAGGAGGTTTGGGTATATCCCTTTGCAACTGAGCTGTCAGGGATCTTTCTCAGGAGTTTTTCTGTTTGAAATCATGGGGGCTTTATTTTTTTTTCTTCTCAACTTGGGTGTAAATCTGTTACAGAAATACAGTGGGGAAATTGCCAGTATTTGTCTAGTCTGATCAAAACTGGGACAAGAGTGGCATTTTAATCCTTTTCAGAAAACTCAGTGATGCTTTTTATTGTCAGTCAAATCTTCATTGATAGTATTTCTTCATGTAGTAGTTGCGTTCTTTGCATGAGGAGTGTGGGTACCTTAATATTTGAAGGGCAAAAGCACATCTTTGAGCTGTGAAATTAATTGCTTCATTGTTATTTTTAACAGATCTACTTTAAAGGTGTCCACCCAAAGTTTCCTGATGGAGGGAAAATGTCTCAGTACTTAGACAGCCTGAAAATAGGGGATACTATTGACTTCAGAGGACCAAGCGGCCTACTTGTCTACGAAGGAAAAGGCAAGGCTGACTTAAAAGATGTAATTTATCCAGAGTAAACAATACAGAAAAAACATTATAAAGTAGTAATAATACGGGTCACTGTTTTTTTCCAGCTGGGTTCAAGTCTTTATAGAATCACAGAATCCCAGAATGTGTGGGGTGGAAGGGACCTTCAACGGCCATTGAGTGCACCCCTGGCAGCGAGCAGGGACACCCCCAACTCCATCAGGTTCTCAGAGCCCGTCCAACCTGAGCCGGAATGTTTCCAGGGATGGGGCATCTACCACCTCTTGGGCAACCTGTGCCAGTGGTTCACTACCCTCATTGCAAAAAATTTCTTTGTTATATCTAGTCTAAATCTACCTCATAATTTAAAACCATTACCCCTTGTCCTATTACAACAAGCCCTGCTAAAAAGTTTGGACTCATAAGACCCCTTTAAAGTATTGAAAAGCTGCTATAAGGTGTCCCCAGAGCCTTTTCTTCTCCACAGTGAACTCCAACTCTCTCAGCCTTTCCTCAGAGGTGTCCATCTCTCTGATCATTTTTGTGGGCTCCTCTGGACCTGCTCCAGCAGGTCTGTGTCTTTCCAGGACTCTGGAGCTGGGGGGTGGAGTACAGGGGCAGAATCTCTGTGGTGACACTTTGATTACACACACTATGTGAACAGAACCTTCGCTATCACCTCTTTATTATTCTGGTGGCTGCTGTCAGTATACTCACCCTCTCCACTAGACATGGCAATTCTTTTCTGTTGTTAACATTTCTGCACAAAACAAACTGCTAGTGTCTTAAAATTAAGCCAGTGGCCATTTTGTTGAGGGGGATTGTTACATGGCTATAGAAGTGCGCATTACTGATACTGTTCTCAAAGAAGGGACTTCTCTCCCTATTTACATGGACATAGCTTCCCAAATGAAAATGAACTTTATCATTAGGAAGTACTTTTGTGCTAATATAAAATAATCTCACTTTGACATAGTGCAGCCACAAATGTGTCTCAAAAACCTGGCAGTTTTGTGAGCAGCAGAACTCAGACACGTGGCTTTCTAGAGCTTTGTATGTTGTGTTTGTTATCCTGGATGAAGAGAGGTGTGAATATAACAAATACCGCATTTTGGGCAATTTCAAACTCTGTCAGCTTTGAGTGAGACTGGCAAATTAGCTCAAAAAGAGGAGGTAAATACACAAAAAAACCCCCACCCTGCATATTCCAGGTTTTCCCTTAAAATAATTCACATGGGATAAATAACCTTTCTGAGCAGAGTAATTCCTTTGTGTGGAACTGTTTCCAGAATCCGGGCTTTTGAATATCACTGGGGGTGGGAGACGTGAGCAAATGGGAATACAGGTAGTGATGGTTTGATGCTAGTCAGGAATAAGCAGTAACCCATGTCAGTGTCTGACATTACCAGTCTCTAATCGTCTTTCAGGATTGTTTTTATTTGTGAGGACATCGCTTTTGTCTGTTTCCTGTTCCTGCTTTACAGAGGGGGAAGGGTGACAGGGCTGAAAGTCAAGTAGCTGAACATGCTGGGGAGGGGTCATGGGTGCTGTTTCCTGCCTTCTTCAGTGTTCCCCATTTCTCTCTTTCTTCAGGCAAGTTTGCTATTCGGCCTGAGAAGAAAGCTGAACCACTTACCAAGAAAGTGAAGTATGTGGGGATAATTGCAGGTGGGACTGGTACGTATACATAAAGATTCATCGTTGGTTTCTGACAGCTGGTAGATGTATTTATTGGTGTATTTTCTCACATGCTCACTTGTGTTTTCTTTACTGTTTCGTATTCTCGCATCATTGACCTGCCTTTCTCTTTCAGGGATAACACCTATGCTGCAGATCATTCGAGCAATCATAAAAGACAAAGATGACCCTACCGTTTGTCAGCTGCTCTTTGCTAATCAGGTAATTATGTCCTCTTTTCTGTTTATAAAGTTTTACTTAACTAACAGAACTCCACTCAGCAATTGGAAGTTCGTGCTGAGAAAGCCTGGTACAGAAACACAAACCGTGAGGGGAGAACTGAACTGAAATTGTGAAAACTTCCCATATAAAAGCACTATAATGAAATTGCTTTTTTAGTGTTACTACAGAAATGCTGCTTTCCTCTCAGCTAATGCTCATTTTCCTGTGTCTTGTTTTTTCTAATCTAGTTTATAAATGTTTTAAAACTGCACTTCTTTGTGCAAGTTGTTAATGTTTTGGGCAGTCTTTCTTGGTGGAAACATGAGAGGTGGACATCTGTCTCCTTCAGCAATTGTAACTTTGCAGCAGGGAGTTATGTGAAATCTTTCTGTCTGAGAACACCTTAGGTGAGACTTAAATTCACAGTGGTCTCCAACAGCTCCCTCAACTACGGAGCTGTGATTCTGTGTGGCTGTTCCCTTACCTTCCCATTCCTTCTGGCAGTTCCTCACGTGTTTCTGTTGCGGGCTGAGGTGTGTCCTAGTGCCGTGCTGGATAAAGGGAAGATCCATGGAGTCCCTGCGATAGAGATTTCTTGGATGATCAGGCAACCAAAACAGTAGTGTACTGCTGAACTGCAGTGCTCCTTCTTTGCCTGATGTTTTTCTGGTTTTAATCCTTTTTGCTTTTAAATTTCTCCATCATAATGAATATTTGTTTCTGGATTATGTGCCATTATTTGTGGTGAACCTCACTTTCTGCCTGTGCTTTTTGGCTTCTTTAGGCTCTCCCCCATCATTCCCCTTGGATACTCAGTGTGTCCTCATTTCTATTCTACCATACCTGAATTATAAACCAAGATTTGTCTGCCCAGAAGCTATGATCCAAGTGCCAACAGACACACTGTTCTGATGCTTTATTACAGTAAGAGCCCTGCTGGTGCCCACTGCTGTGGCTGCAGCAGCTGGGCTCTGCTGAGCCCTAGGACTTGGCATAAGGTGTGGTTGGTGTCAGGCAGGAGGGCCAGGATTTGCTGTGAGTAATTCAGAATGACTAATAGAGAGCTCGAGCTGCTTTAGCAACCCACAAAATCTACTGCTTCTTGCAGGGAGGCCTCGGGGAACACTTGCCTGTGTATTAGCAACAGCCTGTGTAAACATCAGTCCTTGGCTTTAAAGAGTCCTTGTACCCAGTAACTGCACAAATAGAAATCAATCTTGTGACAAATAGTCAGTCAGGAAGGCCTGCAGACTAGAAGTTTTCCAATATTTAATATTTTAAAATACACGTTTAATGTGTGTTTTGTTGATCTTGTATTTTGGCCCTCCTGAAAGACCTGTGTTGGATACAGATGACAGTGTACACGGGCTCATACTGTACTTCTGACTAGCACACTTAGGGTTGGTCAGACCCAGCAACAGCTTTTCTGGAACATGTGCAACTGCAGATCCAGAAATAGGCACCTTCTCAGCAATAGTTGCTGGCATGTTCCTCCTTACCCCCGCAGTTACAGACATAGCGGTGTCCTCAGTGCCAAATTATTAAGGCTGCAGAGGATGGTGCCACTTTTAGTATCTACCCTTTTCCCTCCTTCCTAAACTGCACCTGCTTTTATGGGAATAAGGCATTCTTCTGGCCTTCCATGATGTTGCATCAGGGAGGAGCAGAACTTGATACTCTGGGTAACATTTGTTGTTCCAATCAGAACTTGATACCCTTTTGGTTATCTGTTCCACATCCTGTTTAAAAACCAAGCAATCTTGGTATGGCACTACTGATGAAATTTGAAATGGTAAAGGTGAAAAACCTGGCATCTTCCTGACCTAATGGCACAGTATGGAGGAGACACTAGTGCGTGCTTGTGGTTGTTTTTTTTTTTTTAATGGAAGTTGCTATTGTAATAGTGTTAAAAGAGGGCTTTACTCTTCTGATGCTACAGCTAATTTCCTGAACAAGTGATGGTTCTGTGTTCTGACACAGGCTTTTCTTTGTTGTATTTTTTTAGAGGGAAGTCATTGCATGGTCAGGATTTGGGAAAGTTATGAACCTTTCTGTTATCTCTGCCACAGGATAGTCATGGAAATAACTTATATTTGCTCTCTTCAGCCTGTAAAACGTTGTTGAATAATCTGTTCCATTTCACAGGGCTGTGGAGTAGATAACACTCAGTGGTCATCCGAGGACTGCACTCGGATGCAGAGTGTAATCATTATTTTCCTTGTCCTGCAGACCGAGAAGGATATCCTGTTGCGGTCCGAGCTGGAGGAGATCCAGGTCCAGCATCCTGGCCGCTTTAAGTGTTGGTACACGCTGGACAGGGCACCTGAAAGTAAGAACTGACGTGCTGCTTACATTGACTGAAGTTAGAGCATTAATGCATGTGCTTGGCAGGAGACCTGCTGTGTCGTGCATATTTCTGAGCTCGTTCCTTACTTAGTGAGTCGTGTCTGAATGCATCCAGTAGCATCATTTTTCACCCAGTGATGCACAGAAACTCTTGGATGTGATCGGGCCATGTTTGCAGAGCTCACCTCAGGTGCATGGCAGTGCAGTGTTCCTCCTCCTGAGACTGCCCCTGAGCACTTAGTTATGTCCTCTGGAAGGTGACCTTCCTTCCCCACAGAATAAATGCCAGGTGTTACCATGTTGTCTTGTGTTCAGAGCCGGCGTTGAGGCCGCTGTGGTGGGGGTGCTGGAGGCACTGTCTCATGGGATGTGCCCAAGCGCAGCCTTCTCCCAAGCTGTCACTGCATGGCACTTCGTGGGAGCTGCTCTTCTTCCTAGGCAGTGGGATTGCCTTTGTTAACAGTGTTCCTCAGTGACAGCACAGTTCCAGCTTGGAGCAGTCCAGTTTTAAAGATAATGTGATATAGTTGGCTGGTCCAGGTGGGAGCATGAGCTAGCTGAATGTGCCTCCCTCAGCTGTGCAAGTTTGAGGAAGAAAAGGCTAAATAGTTACTGCTGTTGTGAAAAGGCTCAATAGTTTCCGTGTCATTCCTTGTTTCCCTTTCTTACTATTCCCCATCATGCCCACCCATGTTGGGATAGATTCAGTGGTGGTTTGGGGCAGAGAAGGCAAAGCCATATGCCTCCTCTTACCTTGTGACCAAGGATACACCTCTGGTAGGGTGGGGGGAATGGTCGTGCCATCGCCACAGTCCATTCCTGTCGTGTCGTCTTCCACAGTTACGGTTCTGGAAATTCTAACCACTGTTCGTTTTCTTTGATATTTGTGAATTGTGAACTGATCTTAGCAGCTGTGATAGAAGTTCCTCCTTAGACCCCCTCAACACTGTTCTACAGACTTTCATACTGTGCATGAAACTGGACCAAACACTGTACATTTTTTGGACAATCTGCAGGAGAAAAGTGTGGCAGCCTTACTGTGTCCAGAGGTTTAGGTCATCAGCTTTTTGCATCTGTGACTGGGGGTATGATGTGTAAACCTGAATCCTGGCACTAACTGAGAGTGTTCCAACCAGGAACAACTCCATCAGCTGGATTCCCCCTAGGGAACTTGTGAACAGTGGGGCAAGGGGGGGTGGATGCTGTTCCACAGTGTGGCAGCTGGGGAGAGTCACGGTCTGTTCTCAGATCTGCTTGAGATGTCCTTGGGCCTTGGAGCAGGCTGCATTAAAAGCGAGCCCTAGCTTTCTCCATACATGAAGTGGTGTTTTTTCCATGCAGCATAACTGTGTTGAGGACGCTAACGTGAGTGGAGTATATAAATGCTACAGCCCAGAATGTTACCAAAAAAACCCTGAAACCCCAACACTCTTCCTAAAGTGACTTGTATCTATCTTTCTCTCTTGTTTTTTTTCCTCATTCTCCTTCCTCTACTTCAATTTTTTACCAGATTGGGATTACAGCCAAGGATTTGTGAACCAAGAGATGATCAGAGACCACCTGCCTCCACCTCAAGATGATGTTCTGATCCTCATGTGTGGACCTCCTCCAATGATCCAGTACGCTTGCATTCCCAACCTGGACAAACTGGGCTACACCAAGGAGATGAGGTTCTCTTTCTGAAGACAACTGATAATTCAGTGATCTGGTGTAGAAGGGAAGAAAAAACATTTAATGGGAAACAGGACAAAGTTAGAGATGGCTGATGCACAGTGATGGGAGGCTACATGTACATTAAAAATGCTTCATTTTTTTTTTTTTCCCCTCAATCTCTGGCAAGTAAGACACTTAAACTTAACTGTCCTAAAACTGTACTGTATGTTGTAGAGGAACAACCATGTGGAAAGGTGCCTAGTGCTCAGCTGTAATGTTTGCTTCAGCTCCAGGGAGGACACACAGCTGCTTAGGGCAGTGAACACCCATTTATGCTGCTGCTTAGTGCTGTGATCAAATGGTGGCAATATCCTACTTCCCAACACTGTGCATACCCAGTATTTTATTTGGTATGAAGTATGAAAAGACACAGAATGTATTGGATTATTCACCTTGTTTATGCCAAGTGCTAATCCTTGCCGAGCTTTTACAGCACAAGGGCCAGGAGTGTTTGCTTTGTACGTGTAACCTTTGCAACATCAGAAGCTTAAAGGTGCTTGTTCTGTTGAAGGATGACAATTAACCATTCATTAACAACTGAAGTTGTTCAAGCTGCCTTGTTAATCAAAACAGAGTGGTAAACAAAATTTGTTTCCTTTTATACTTTGGAATGGCCTCTCCCAAAGGCAGACACTTTTCTAGGTGGTTGCTGTGCTCATCCCTGGGCAATGAAAGAAAGTACAGAAGGCAGGTGGCTTTGTGCACTGTTCCACAAATAGCTGGGATTTTTTGCTTGTATATGTGTGGAATACTGAAAAAAAAAAAAAGTGACTAACCTTAGTGTTTACTTTCCAATAGCCGATGGTGCCATAGGAATACAAAAGCAGTTGTTCGGCATGTCCTGTGCAGTGGAAAAAAATGCTGGGTGAAAACTGGATCTAGTTTTAGTTTCTTCTTTCCCAGAGACAGATTTGGAACAAAGGGAGCTCAGGTTTTGTTGCCAGGGTGGGTTTCGGCCAGCAACAAATTTGGGTGTGGGTGTGGGGGTGTGTGTGTGTGTGTGTGTGTGTGTGCACAGGGTGGGGGGGTTTGCTTAGTTGGGGGGTGTGTGTGTGTGTGCACAGGGGGGAGTTGCTGAGTTGGGGGGCGGGTCAGGGGGTGGGTGTGTGCACAGGGTGGGGAGTGGCCTGTACCTAGAGCAGAGCCCCCGAGGGTTTTGCTTGGTGAGGATGCATGGGAACAGCTTTAAGTCACCAAACTGACAGCAAATGTCTCACTGAATCGAAAGCTCCTTCTTAGATGTTGTTTACTATAGCTGTGATTTTTATTTTTTAATACACTTTTTTTACAGCAGCCTTTTACCGAGCTTGTAGTAAACTTCAGGCATCTTGTGTGTCAAACTTTCTGTGCTGCCGAGATTAGAGCTGTCCTGCAAGGAGTCTGGGAAACTAGAAATCTGGTGATGAAATCTGAGTAACCGAAAGGATGTTTAGTCATGTATGCAGTAATGTGGATACTAGTTAGCTACAAGTGTCAGTGTATAATACCACTTTTTTAAGGATTTGGGTAGATAGTTGAGGTTATAGCTTGCCACGCTTTATTTTGTGCAACAGATGAGTACTGTGCACTTAAAAGGTTAATTTTCAGCATGAATTAAAAAGATACTACAGTCAGTTTAAGGAACCTCAAATGGATAATACTGTTATTAATTCTATTAATTAGATGCTTGCTTCTGTAGTCTTGAACTTTTGATGTGTGCTTCTGAAACTTGTTGTTTAATACTATGCTGCAGAGTTTAAATACTACTCAAGTAAGTTTCAGTCTCTCTCAGGAGGCAAAAAGCAGAAATAGGAGAGGAATTATCTTGCTGCTGGTTTATATCACTGTGGGATACACATAGATTTTTTTTTCATTGTCTAATGAAGTTTTCTTTTTTAAAAAAAAAATCTGGTTATACATCAACTATTTTGTAGTACTCTGCTTATTAAATTACTGGCCTTTTTCACATCTGTGTAAGAAATAAAAGTATTTTGCAGGTGAATCACCTGTGTGTTACTGAGCACATCATCTTCAGCAAACTGTAATTGTAAAATACTCTAAAGTGAAGGTTCAGAAAAAAAGCCTTATTTACCCAAGTGCTCCTCTCTCTTGAGTTTGGTGAAAGCTGCTGTATTTGGATGCCAAATCAAGGAGTAAACTAACTGTTTTTCTGTCACTCCAATCTCCTCTTTTTACCTTTATTTTGTATATCTTCCTTGTGAACATGAGGCTCTTTTAATAAATAAAAGGAGGGATTTTATATAATCTACTGAAAGAAAACTGTGTCACAGTCCCCTTTGCTTGATGGTCCTGTACTATAGCATTTAAACAAGTCAGTGGTACATTGGTTTTGTTATTTTCTTTTTTTCTTTGAGCCAGTTCATCTGTCTGTCTCAGAAAATAGTATTCCTCCCATTTTCTGACAGGATGTGCTGAGTACCACTAACCTCATGCATTTGGGGAGACATGAACCTCCTGGATGAAGGCGTTTTGTGGAAAGTTTCGAGAGAAACAGGATGAAAAGAGCTGCTGCTGCTTTGGCTCTGCCAGAGGTGGGGCCCCTTTGCTTACCATGGGGCCAAGGCAGGATCCCCCCACCCAGGGACTGCTCCTGCTGCAGCAGAGGGTCTGCGAGGAAGGAGGTAAGAAAGGAGCCGTTCTCCTGGAGCTGGGGCTTGAGCCTGCTCTTCCCCTGCTGCTGCGGCAGTCCCAGCTTTGCTTTGACCTAGAGAATTCTCCATGGGTTTAAACTGCCTGAGGTCAGCACCTTACCTGGGAAATCAGTGTGTACAGTTACAAGAGCTTGTGCTGAGGCTGTGAGTCACCTGGGCTGAGCCTCCAGCTCGGTCAAATTTACATTGTTAAATAGTTTGTTGTGCATCTTCCCCATTATTAGCTGTAGTGCAGAGCCTTGGCCAGTTCCCACTGTCACTAAGTGCTTGAGCTCCTGAGCTGAAACTCCAGGTGAGGAGTTTGGTGCCCCAGGGGGGGCTGTGCCCTGGCTCCCAGAATAACCACCAAGCCTGGCTGGCATCTCTCTCAGGTACCAGAGACACTTGGGAGGACACAGGTCAAATAACTGGCAAAACTGCCCTAATGTGTAACTTCCATAGTTCCAACTCTGTAAAGATGTTTCTGATTTTCCCAATGCCACAAAAGCATGTGAAACATCCAAAGAAAAAGGCCCAGCCCCTTTCAGAGTGTTCCTACAGAACTGAATAGCCTAAGGGACACAAGACTAGTTGCAAGATACCAGTTTAATGCAAAATTAAAGCTTTTCTTCTGGTCTTTTATAAACCAATCAATCCTGCTGCAGTATTGGTTATGCTGTTACTTACTTTAAATAGGCAAAAAACCCCCACCCCAACCTTCCTGAATGGGTGCAGAGCCCCCACTCTGCACATGCCCCCCCCCTGCTGTGTGTGTTTTCTGTGTAAAACACCAGCAATTCCCTGCTACACACACACACAGTGATGCCAGCTCTTTAAAAATAACTATCTCAATGAACTATTTCAAAACCGAAAGGCCTCCCTTCTCTATATCCAGCTACATTTCTGACTCGGCAAAAATTTCACAGTTCTCTTCTGTTTGTTGTCACTTCAGTTCACCTTTCAGCCTCCACATGGAAAGCTGTGAACAGCGCTTCTGGCACTGACACTGCAGGTTCTTTATGCCCTTTTTTAATGGCTCTGTAAGGAACAGCCTCTATTTCTCAGCTGTCACAGCTGCCCCATCTTGTAACTCAATTAGTAAATAGTAAAATATGCATGAGCATTTGAAATTATTTTTATTCTGTTAAATAAAATTATAAGAAAGGTACAGGCAGAGGAGTTTTGCACTAACACAACTATTCAGCTATAAACAAACTGAATTTACCAGGCTCAAAACTGATAAGGTTTTCCTTCGCTAGTTAACAGTGGCTGAAAGAAATTACAACTGTGCACCCCAAAAGTCTCAGTCCACTAAAAGCTGAGGGAAATGGAATAAACCAGTCCATAAATGAAAATCGGCTGCTAAGCTACTGTAAACAAAGTCCAAATAATTTTGCCTCCTCTGGACTTTGCTCTCTGCCATGAGTGGTCAGAAGCTGCATCTGCTGCTGTGAAATGCAAAACCTCCCACCATGGTCTCCTGGCCAGGTTTTTGTCCCTGCTGCTTGATTTTTTTTCTCCAAATTTTCTTTACCCCCTGCCACTGCCTTTTGCCCCACCTTGACCCAACACACCTGCTCAGCAAGAACAGGCTTTGCAGCTGGGACCAGCCCTGCCTCTGTCACAGCTCTGAGGCCCTCTGGTGCCTGGCACCGAGCTGCTTTTAAGGGGCAGGTAATTAACAGGTTTCTCATCATGCAGCCCATTTCTGTGGCAGGGAAGGTCTTTTCCTCTTAGTTCCAAACCAGCTCACTCCTCCAAACCAGCATTTTTAAGCCCTGGAATTGTCCTTCATGCTTAATGCCAATCTGACCAGCACCAGTACATTTTATTACAGACTCAACCTCCTATTACAGAAAAAAAATCTGCCACACAGTAAACAAAGGCTGTGAGTCAAATCTACCACGACCTCCCAAAGGCTCAGAGTGATGAAGCGTTCATCAGCTCCAGCCAACACTTAATGCTGGCAAACAAAATGTTCTGGAAAAATTACGTGCCTTCTATAAACCCATTTTTCTGGCAGGTACGTCCTGTTGTTTTAAAACCTGGAAAGACTGATTCAGCCTGGCTTCTGCAGGAGCTAAGGGAGTGCAATGAGGGGAGGGGAAGGTGGGAAATAAGAAGGTGGAGGGAAGAGCATGTGAGAAGTGAGAGGCAGAGCTGAGCCCCATGCAGCCTCTGGTGCCAGCGTGCAGAAAGCCACTGCTGTTAACCAGTTGTTTATAGAAACTTCACGTACACGTTGCCCACCTCCTTTGGTCTATTTTTTGTGCCGAGGCAGTTTGCCAACATGTCTTTTGCGGGCAGGAAGCTGTCAGTATTGGTGACAAATTGCCCTAGCGCATTCCTGCCTGACAGGCGGCATTTTTGCTCCTTGGCAATGCTGTCTAGCATGACTCCTCGGATGTCCTTAGGCTCCCCTGGCACACCGAAAACTATGAACAAGCCCAGGCAGTCCCGTCCTACCAGGCAGCAGAACTCTGCCAGCTTCTCAAACCTGCTCTTGTTTCGGAAGCGCTCGTCTGCCAGCGCGGCTTCCCGGCAGCAGTCCTGCACCGCCTCAGCAGGGCTGCCTTCGCCATGGACCAGCTCAGCCAGCTGCAAAGCCTGCACGGCGAGCTGAAGTTTGATCTGCTTGTCAGCTCCAGACAGAGTCCAGATCCAGTCCACCCCAAACAGGGAGGACTGCTGCTTGGTCATCTTGCTGGTCATGATGCATTCCTCCGCTCCCTTTTCCACGCAGAAGCAGATGAAGTTGACCAAAAAGATCTCAGAGTGTTTGTGGCTGGCTGGAATTTGCTCTGAGGATCCACAAAACCAAGATAGTCCTTCAGCCATTGAGATGCATGGACCACGCCTTGGCTGAAGACTTCACAGTCTAGTTTCAGCCTTGTTCTCCTGGCTGTCCTCATGTGAGAACTTCTGGCCCATTTTCTGTGCAGGAGGAGGTTGTTTCCACATGCAGACTGCTTTGGAGAAGTCCCTGCCTTTTCCAGTGAGGGCTCTGTAGGTGCTGGGCTCAGCCAGACCTATTATTAAGCATCTACACGGCTACCTGTTGGCTTCCCGATGAAGGTCAATGGCAGAGGTGAACTCCATGAGCCGGCTGCTGGCTGCAGGGCAGATGGGCTTTCTCCTGGGTGTTTCTCCACAGCTGACTGAGCAGCAACCAGCCAGACAGGCCCAGTAACTTCCACACCTGCTGAATTCCTTGGTGCTTGTTTTCCTTATTGTTAATTCTGACACCATTTCTTTAGCTGATGTTATCTCATTCCAGTCTGATCTTATCTCCTTTGATCTCATTTTTAGGACTATTACAGAGAAGCCATTTTATTGGTACTGAGTGCTTCCTGGAGATGAAACCACTTTTTTGTGTTAATCATGGAGAGAAGAGTATGCATCCAAACATGAAGACTTGTACAGGATGCTTGAATTGATGTGGTGGTCTTTTTTGATGGGCCACTGCCCGTGTCCCAGTATTAACTGCTGCTGCCAGTGGTTGTGCCACAGCAACCGCACATGGACTTGAACTTTGGCTCAACTGAGCAGCTTGTGCTGTTGCTGCCTGTACCTGGATTCATCTCAGGGAAGCTTGGACAGGCAGCCCACGCAGGACTGTCAGTTACCAATAAACCCACTTCCTAACCTTACAAAATCCCCTCTCCCTAGGTGTGAAAGCTGGAACGTATGTTACCGCTGCAGAGGAGTCAGCCCTGTTCAGCTCTGGATGTTGCTGGTGCCAAATGTACCACTATGGTCTCTTCCTTGGCCCAGGATCTCACCATCGTTCTCAAGAAACAGGCTGTGTCCTGCTGGATGCTGCTCTTCCTTCTCCTCTTCACTCTGAGTGAAAAAAGTATCAAGAAACTGTCTTTCTCTGCCCTTTTTACTCTCATTGCTCAAAACATCTTCATACAATCTCTCTCTCTCCTGCCTACAGATGTTCTTGTGCTCCTGCCACCCCACAGGGAACACCTTCTCAGGTGCACGGGCTGGTCGGTCCTGCTGCTGCCCTTGGGTCTCTCTCCAAGGAAGAGATCATGTTCTATATATTATGTCTTTTTTTCCCACAGGTCTTCAACCATCTCCATTCCTTCATGACCTTCTCACATCTATGATTAGGGGGCGTGCTGCTGCTTCTTCTGTTACCTCTGACAGTAACTCTAATTTCCTTTCTACTCAAGGGTTCCCCAGCACTCTCCTAATACTCTTTCTTTGCTGACCACTGCTCCAAATCCACTGGCAACTCAGGTTTTGCTTCTTAGCTGCCTCAGAGAGCACTATCTACTTCCTCCCACCTAAGGATAAGAAGCACAGTAGGAAAAGCTCTTGCTGCAAATGAAAATGCCAAAATACTAAGGTGAAACATGAAGTATGCACTAAACATTCCTAAGAACAAAGCAGTGCAAGGTATAAAAAGCATGCAGGTAGGGTAAACACAAATGCTCTCCTAAAGGGAAAGCCAGGATGCAACAATACCTAGTAGATGGTAATCAAGTCATTCCAGAGGTTATTCTGGGTAACTTCTACATTCCTAAGCATATATGTAATTTATGCAAACAGAAAAAAGGTGGGTTTAATCTCCATAGGCTCCTGATGAATACGCATCTATCTTTTCCTCATCACTGTAAACAGACAACAAAAGTTTAGCATCCTCTAGGTTTCAAAGTGCTTATCCTCACTATTCCCATTGAAATACTAAACCTGATGAACAAAACCATAGAAATGAAGGTAAAGAGATGGGGGTTATACATTTTCTGGTCTGTTATCTGGGCTACACCAGCCAAAATACTGATCATAATTTGTACCTGCACCCCAGCAACAAAATGTAGTTTGGGGGAGCTCAACTCCTGTTGGCAAAGCAGCTGGAGCTCCTCGGACTGCTGAGGGCACAGGGAGGGGAATGACACCTGGTCCAGGGAAATGGCTGCCCTTTATAGCAAGAAGGGCCAGAGCCCTTCAGCACCCTGCAAGGACTCCCCAAGCAGCACACACTGACCAGTGGGGAAGCGCCTTCTCATCACCCCCTGCCAAACAGCCCAAGATGGCTCAAAACTGGATCCCAGAAATAAAAGACTTGGGGTAGTTGATTTCTTAGTGCCTGCAGGACTTGGCTAACACCTATCGACAAATGAACAAACAACTCCACATGTGATTTTGCCCCTTCTCCCTCCTTTGTCTTTTAAATAGAACAAAAACTTCCTAAGAAAATAAAAGGAAAAAAAAAGGGGATACATGAGAAAGGAAGCAGTTTCCAGAAACACCTGGCGTTTTCCATAGACTTTATTGGACTTTACATGGTAATACACAGTAGTTATGTTGCCCTCTTCAAACACACACAAATTAAAATACCCCAACGGTATCAATTGTGTGCACATAAACTTCCTGACGTCATCACCTGCTTTCAAATTCCACCTCCATAAAATAACCAAGGTTCAGACAAGAGGATGACCTGGCTTCCAACCGGTGAAGGCAGGAAAGGGTTTTTTGGAGCAGAACGTTACTTACACTGGACTTAAATAAACCATCATCTGCTGTTGTTGATACACTTGCTAACAGCACTGAAGAGAAATCAGAAAGTGATTGTGCCTATTTCAGCATATAACGTTGTGACGTTAGCCCCCTCCTTTTCTCTCTTCTGAATACCCAGTCATATTAACTAGTCAGCATCTAGTGAGAGCGAATCTGGAGATCTGCTCAGGAGCCTGCACCATGTCTTCCCAGTGCTCCTGCAGCATTTGGGGCAGCACGGTCTCAAGCTCAACTTACATGTAAATAATAAACCGTATTGCAGAGTATTCACAGGAAGCAAGCCCTGAATTCACATCCCAAGCATCTGCACCCTAAAGCTGACAGCATACAATGCAGTATTTCTGCCCGAATAAAATACCTCAAACACCCCCAAGACTGCGGAGGAAGAAACAACAGACAGCAAATTATTTGCAGACAGGCATCAGTCAGGAGTATCAAATAAAGCATCAGTTGCGATCTGTCTGTAGACAGATGGTAAGCAGCACAAACTATTTTATGAATACATTATGGATTGTTTGCCTGGCTCCAGTTACTAAAGAAAAAATGGCAGTGCTTGACATTATGTGTAACACAAGCAGTCCACATCAAATTTTTCATCTTGGTACATAAGCAATAGCCTACAGCACACATCCTTCCAAGAACCAGGCTTACCAGGTCACAATAACAGAATGCTAGAACGAGTCTCCAATCTACTCCAATATCTGATGGGAGCTCCCTGGTAGCCCTGGAAGAACCTAGCTTTGTTAACAGTGTTTCAGAAATATCTAGGAAGTCAGCACAAATCTAACATCCCCACCAGCCACGTGTCAGAAACAGCCTCACTTCCAGTAAGGAGAGCGATGAAACGAGTGACAAATGCTTGGGAAAGCAACACACCACTGCAAGAAACAATTCCAGCTGTACTTTTTTTGCCTTTACAAAGCAAAGAAGCTTCATGCCATTGTGCTAAAATACATGCGACATTCAACACCATAGGAATAACCACTGTAATAAACAAGAGTTACTTTTTGTTGTTTGCTTTTGGCTAGGACACCTCGCAATACCGAAGTCTGACCAAAGATTTCCACTGGCTAGTTAGGGTTTTCAAAATCTGATGATCTTCAAAAGCAGAGGAGCTGTGCTTTAAGAAGGTAAAACAATGAGCAACATGTTTGATATTTGAATTTTGGAGGAAAAGTCCCACTTTAGCTTTAATATTATGAAATAATATATTTCCTATACATTTCTCTATATAACTTTGATTTTTTTGCAACTACACCATCTTTATGTTAGTCACAGCACAGAAATATCCCTTCTATATGCAGGAAGTACTCTTAACTTTAAGGAAATTTTTAAAGTCACAGAAGTGTTAAGAACCCTGTTTGAGTGCTAGAACTACTGCTGCTGAGAACAAGAAAGAACATGTTTTAAAATCTGCAGTTTCCATATGAGTCACTGCTAGAAGAAACATGCTTTGTAATTGCTTCATCCCAAATGGAAGATCATTAAACTGTGCACTTAGTAAAAAGGAACAAAAGCAAACAGTTCCAAAGGTCAGCCTGCCTTTTCCAGTAACCAGCTGGTATGCAAACTGGCATAAGTTTTTTTTACAACCCTCTCCCTTTCCCCTACACCTTAAACTTTCGCTTTTATATGTTCTTCATATACTTCTTTTTTCTTTCTTTTTTTTTTTTTTTTTTTTTTTTTATAAAACAGTATAAAAATAAGACCAACAGTCAAAAAGTTACTGGGAAGTTTGTGCAAGGCTTGGATTACTAAAATCCTGCACTGGATGTCACAGGAAGGGCAGAACTGGTATTTGTACCAAACAAATGCACTTGAAAAAGAGCAGTAACATCTTTTTTCAGCTGAGAGCCTAGAGAAAGCTGATGCACGATATCCACAGACACAGTACTTCTACCTAACATCATCTGTTATCTTGAAACAGTATAAGGGATTATCTGAGGCCATGAATAAGCAAAAGGAGCACTATCATACCACGTAAATTTAAATGCAACACTCTGAAACATATCACCAGTTTGTACATTAAATATAGTAAAAACAATTACCATTCACCAGTGTCTGTGTGTTTCTTATGGCAACTTTTAGAGTAGGCACCTTTTTTTTTTCCCCCCCTCCTTTTCTTTTCAAATTCTCCACCCCCCAGAGTTACTTCTAAGAAACAGAAGCAAGAGCAATGTCATGTACGAGATCTGCTGCCGGTCACATGAATGATGGCGTTTCTTGCACACAGGAAAGTGAGCCTTTGTCAGTGCCTGGTAGTTACTGTCACACGTTGGAGTCCTCATCTGTTATACTGGTGCTGGGAGAGCGAGTCGCAAAGTCTTTAAACATTTCATCCTCTTTCAACATGTGCTAGAAGGGAAAGGAGAGAAGAGAAGAGCCGAGGTTCAGGCCCTCACAGTTGAATGCAGGCACCCGGGCCGCTCTGCTTCTGCGCCCTCAACCCTGCCAGACACCGCTTTGTTCTGCTGAGGACGTTTCTCACCCGTGCTGGTGACAAAACAGCTCGCTGCTGTCTGCTGGCCCAAACGGCATGGGGAGGAGGCCTGGGCTGGGCCGACACCCAGTAAATCTGCCGTGACCCTCAGTTGGCAACTTATGGCCCAAGGGCAACTGGGTGCCAAGTCTCTGCCCTCCCCGGAGCGCAGGGAGTCGGAGAGGAGAGATGGCAACCACGGGCCACCACTCCCAGGTGGGGAAACCTCCCTGCCAGGATGGGCAGGTACCTTCCAAAACTGCTGGTGTTTCTTTTCCCTTCTGTCCCTGTACAAAACCAAAAGGACCTCAACTGACCCCTAGTTCTGATGAGGCTTCACTATACCTGTAATTTCATAGTACTTATATAGTTCAGCCCTCAGAGACCAGTGGCACTTCGCCCAAGGGGTTTATACCCATCTTACAGAAATAGAGATCTTATTCCACAGGGCCCCCCCTTTTAAGCCTTACTGTCAAGTTGTTGATGCCTTCAGAAAACGCTCCTATTTGTCTCACTGTCCCTTCTGAATCTTCCATCTACAAAAGACAGATCATGAATAACGACTCAAATTCACTGCATGCCATGACAGAGTGGACGTAACACAGCTGACGTGGTCTGAGCGAGGCAGGACCGTGCCCCATCGCGAGAGGACAGTTGTGCCAGAGCAGGTCCTGAGTGTGCTGCAGTCACTGCTTGCACCTCCTCGGGCCGAGAGACGCTCCCCTCAGAACGCTGGGCAGCTGCACTGAGCCACGACCTCCAGGGGCCAAAGCAAAAGGAAGGCTTCCCTGGGAAAAGGGAGGTTTTCCACCAAGCCTGACAGCACAGTCAAGGACTCCAAACTGCTAGAACTGACTTACCTGCTCCAGCCTGTCCAAATCATCATCATCATACACTCGGATATCCAGGCCAGGCTTAAAACCCTTCTTTGACCCACTTCCAGATGCCCGTCCCAGCTCCATTGGACACACATACTCTTCCACATCATCTTGCTTCTTCTTCCTCAGGCTTCCAAAATTGCTGAATGCAAGTTTCTTTGGCTTACAATTGAAGAGAAGATTGACAGGAAGTTAGAGAATCAGCAAAGAATTAACAGATCTCTTGCACTGGTGTTTCAATTATGAAGGATCTAAACAAAGATCTTCCAAATAGCTGTTATTTCATGATAATTGCACCTGAAAGAACAAGATGTGTCCCCTCATTCTACCACTGTTAAGACAAAACCATTTAAAGGATACCAAATGGGATCAGAATCCCACTGCATTAAACTATGAGCATATGAACAGAGACAGTCTCCCTCCTAAACGTGTCTCAGTACAGACAGAAGGACAACACACAGGAGTGGTACCTCTTGCCTGGGCACGAGAGGCTGAGGTGTGGTGTGTTCATGGTAGACACAAGTGTCAAACCCAGATCTGCTGAGTCCCGCTCTCGTGCTTCTTTCATTAGCAGCCAGCCCCTTCTTTCAAACCTTACTGAACTGCCCACCAAACATAGATAAAACCAGCACACTGGAGATGTAAACATCTGCCTGGAAGCTCACACACTAGCCCAGGACAAGTGACCTACCTTTACTTTGGCAGTTGCTGTTAAAAGGACATAGTCTGGGGACTCCATGGCTTCACGTTTCTGCTGCTGGGCCTCCTGCCCAATGAGGAGGTTGAAATGAGTCGCCAAGTGTCGTCTCAGTAGTGTCTTGTTTGGTGGAATGTTCAGTAACTGTGCCATGGTTTCTACATTGAAACGAGGCTCCAGAACCTATTAATCGAACCACAGAGAATGAAGCCAGTACTGCCTGATGAGGTCTCAAGGACATCAACAGGCACATCTATCTTGGTCACCTCCTACCTGTTGCTTTGGGGTTTTTGTTTGTATTTTAGAGGAAACATACAACAAAGAGAGAGAAAAGAGAGTTAACTACTTAAAGGATTTGTAAAATCCTACCTCCAGGTTTTCCTTCTTGAGTTGTAAACAAATGGGCAGGCAAGAAAAAAGGAATAAACACCCTTAACTCATGTAATGTGTGAAGCTGCCACAAAATGTTTACCCACCATCCTCTTTAATTCTGGAAAATGTAGCCAGAGGGATGATGGAAAATAACAGACATAAATATTTGGAGCAGGGATCTTAATCAACACAACAAACCTCTGCAAAGTATAAATCTTGTCTGGAGTATCTGATGCTAGAGCAATTAAAACCAATCCTGGTTTGACACAGAAATCACAAATTTTTACAAAAGTTACAAGCCTTCCTCACAAAATAAGAACATATCCAGGTCTAGGAAGGAATATGGTGGCTGTTTAACAGCATGATAACAGTGTACAGCACTGTAGGACAGGAGGTTGATAATGCCATAACTAAATTAAATTGTGAGGGGAATATGGATAACCAAACCCACTGCTGCCCCCTCTAATTCTGCCCAGGACATTAATGATCTTTAAACTGTAGGGTAATACATTTTGATAGCAATGTCTTATTAAGCAGAGTAAGAACATAAGGTGTGTGCAGCAAAGATAATGTCAGAACTTTGCTTTAGTGACTCTCAGACATATTTTTTTAAAATAAAATGGAACAAGCCAGCCTAAACCCTTACCATCAGTCCCCCATGCACACCGCTCCCACGCAGGTTAGGCGCGTACTCTGCCAGGTCAACAGAGCGCAACCACTCCATCACGCGATGGTTGGTCCACTGGGTGACCTCAGAAGGTGTGACGTTATTCTGTGAGCAGGAGGAACAGGCGGTTAAGGAGACTCCCCGACTCAGCTGTCCTAGCCCCTGAAGCAAACATCTCCTGCCCTTCATGAATGCAAGTCCTTGCACTTGAGAAACCCCTCTTTTTGGATTGCTCTGCTGCAGTAATAGCAGTGTGGAGGTGGGTCTGGGCAGGGGGCAGGTCTGTATTATGCTTCACGTCATTCCATTATCCTGCTGTGCACTAGGACTACCTGCAACTTCTAGCAGTAGAACTGAAGATTTAGCTAGCTCCATGAGCTGCTGTGCTTTTCTTACAGATACGCATTGCGAATCTAAATCCAAGAGTCTGGGTTGCCTCATCATGCATTGCCCTATACAGCTTCCAAAACAAGCTGATGGCAGTCTTCCATCTGGCCACTGGGCCAACTCCTCTTACACAGAAAACTTTAACACAGCCATCCATTTTCCAGAGAGTTACACAAGACTCATGGCAACAGTGCGCTGAGATCAAGACGATTTACGTTCATCAGATGATCGGGATGACCCAGAGCACATCAGAGACTGGGCCAAACCAGCCAGCTGTGAGCTAGGAAGAGAAGCGGGGGCCATGGCAGGTGGAGGAAAGTTAGTAGCGTTCCAGGTACTGATGGCAGAGCACGAGACTGAAGAGTAATAGGAGAAAAAGGAAACCGAAAATGAAACAGAATGAGAGGAAGGAGGAGACAGGAGGAAAGTGCAGAGCAGGAATAATCAGAAACACCAGGGAAAAAACCCTAGTCTCTTCCCAGCTTCATCTGAAAGCAGTACCTCATCAGACGGCCTCCTGCGCAGACAGTTGGGCTCAAAGTTATTTATTCTCAACACCTGAATGGCTCTTTTGATGCTGAGGTGGTGGAGGACACTGACAACTTTCAAGGACAGCAAGTCATCCTGTTGAAGAGGAAGGTGAAGTTAATAAACATAAACATGCTTATTGGTGGAACCAGCATCTGAAGAGACTACTTTGGACCCTGGCTTAAAATGGCACATCTGACACATTCTGGGGTAAGATTTTAATATGTAAGACATATGATTAACATCAAACCATCTGTCCCAAAATAAAAGCTTTCCATTTTGTACTGTATTAGCTCCTGAGCAATGTTCTTCACATGGAGTACAGAGCTTAGTACACAAAACCTGGGCTAACAAGGAGGGGAAGGGGTGAGATCACACACCCTCAGCGATCTGATTAGAGCCAGGACAGCTTTGCACAGCACATCAGACTCACCTGGCATTTGCATTTAATCCTGCCAAAAGTTTTAATACCACAAACATCCAGCTAAAAGCCTAACTGAAAACAATAAATCACCCTGAAAATTGAGGCATTCTGTATGGTTAGAATGAAAAAAAAGAGGGAAGAAAAATATGAAGGTGTGTCAGGTTGGTCTCCCACAGCTGCAAATGATAAATGTTTTTTGAAATGCTTGTCACAAGTGATTGAATGATGGAAAGGTGATCATACTCAGGCTGTGGAAAGGCTCACCTTAAATCACCTTGGCCCCAGCTCACCAAGCTCCTACCTTGTGCAGGCACCTGCTACAATTCGAGGGAAGGAGGGCAGGTGGCCAGGAGCACCAGCTCCCCCTCCTGTGTGCCACAGGAGCATGCTGGACCATGGGCAGCCTGAAGGTTGGTTCTGTGACAAGGCACTGCAAGGCAACCTGGCTGTGCCTTCACACCACACCACTTTCAGCACGGAACGAGCCACTTCTCATACACTGCAGGGCAAGAGCCTGCAAAGGCACAGCCACATTCCTTCCTGCAACACATCAGTGATACTAAAAAAGCAGTCAGTTCTTTCTCCAAAAGCTTGATTCGTGCAATGTTTTCAACTTAAACATTCATCTCACAAAGGGACTTATTTTATATCTAAGCACAGACTGGCTGTTTAGGCTCCCACCAGCATCTGTGGAAAGCATCAGGCATCCCTGCATGCCATGCCAAGGGACGAAATGGTGCCTCAGTGTCCCTCTCTGCGCTGACAACTGTGCCTTTGGCTGGACAGGTAGCTTTTTGAGATGTCCAGAGATGGGAGAGATTAGTTCCTCCCTTCGTGACTGCAGCTGGAAGGAGGAGTTTTGCTTTGGGTCCACTGAAGTTCCTTCTTCTCCTCCTTGTACTCGGGACTCCTTCCAACCACCGAGGAGGGGAGAGACCGAGCCTTCTAGCACCCAAGGGGGCACAGGAGATGTGGTGGGCAGTGGTGAAGGAGACAGAAGGTTTAGATGAGTCTCACAGGTTAAAAAAGGCAGCTGGTGCTACCCAACACCCTGACCTGCCACCAGTTTACAATCTACATAGTGTGGAAGGTGTCACATTTTGTTGAGTCCCTGTTTTCATTCCAATGGCCAGCCCCAGAAATTTAGCATTTCAAAACCAAAATCATCAGATTCTCTCTGATTAGGGAGTGGCAGCCATGAAAAGCTTGTAAGGAGGAGGACGTGACAGGCCCAGACAGACCTATCAGCTCCCTGGCTGCTGCTGTCGCTCCAGGAGTGTTACAGGAGAAAATCCTCCCCTGCACTGCAACTGCAGTCACCTGCTGTGAGACTTCCACTCCTTCCGCCGTAATTGGGTCCTAACTGTGCCAAGTGTCTCAAAGTCCAATTCTCTGCTGTTGCAAGCTGTCTAACTTAGATAAATTTATGCATCCTTGTGCTAGGGTTAACCCGGCTTAATATGTTTCAGTATTACTTATGTGCTATGGATATTGGACTCTATTTTGTCAGAATATTTAGATTCTTTGCTTACTCAAACAGTTCATTGTGTTCAGCTAACCTTAAGATGATTCTAAGAGTAGAGTTTCTATGTCATGGTTTGCTATTTTACTTATTATAAAATAATATTTGCTATTATTTATTTTGAGTCAGGGTAACTTGACAAGATTTTTTAAAGTATTCCTTCATACTTTGCACACAGCTGTATTTAGTTGGTTGTTTACACTGAATCTGTTGTTAAAATTTGATGGTTAAACTCTGTGTAAAAATATCCCTAGTGATCTACAATGAAAGGGAAGTGACAGGAAGAATATCTATTTAAAAGGCAAAGCTCCTGCTGCACATCCCTCCTTTGTCCACCTATTACCTTTCTTTTAACACAAAAAAGACTGACTGTTGAATATTAAAAGTTCCCTTACGTTACAGCCTATGCTGCATCTTATCCACGTTATTAACTGGGTGAGGATTGAACAAGACCAAGCTCAATGTAGCCTCCTGGCATCAGATCTCCAAGACTTAAGAAGCAGAAGAAACTGCCTCCTACTTTTAGATTACTGTCCAAACTCAAAACACTGAAGGAAGAAAACCACCAAACCCCACTACATAAAGCAGTATTTAACATGTGACTGCCATGGACTCCACAGCAAAGTCACGCCCTGTAGTGGAGGCAGGCTGGTCCTTGCTGTTTACAGGAGAGTTAGATGGACCAACCCTAGGCTTCCTCCTGGTGCTACTGTAAAGCCTATACAAAACACATGCAAATAGAGCATAAAAAAGGCACCTTTTACTCTGCCCATGGTGTGGCTCATGGGAGAACAGGAGTGTGACTGACAACTTTTGTTATACAGAAGGAATTAGTATTATCGATGCTTGGTTTGCATTTGTGTCGCCAGAGAAGAAGAAAGGTCTTATCTCATTTTACCTGAGACTTTACACAAAGGAAACCTGCTGGGTTGGCTTCACCTGACCAGTAATAAAGTAGGGAGCTGATGGTGTGCTCAACATTTTGAAATACATTATGGAAAAGCTAATACATGTAGACCATTTTCAAACAAGCTGGCTCTTAAAACTGCAATTTTCTTCAAAAGAAATTGTGTGGGTTTTCTTCACCTATTTCCACATGAATAGGTAAGTAGACAGAATGTTTTTTGAAGAAAAAAATTCCACCTACTTCTATTAATAACAACCTGAAGGGTAAAGGCCCAGCTGCATCAACTGTGACCACAGAATTTGCGCCCTTCTGTGTACAAACACTGTCTGAGCACATCAGTGTCATGCACAACTGCTATGCACAAGATCGCCCACTTCGCATGCATGATTCTTGTCTCTTGCTTACTCTGTTTGCTCTTCCACCTTAAGACAGTGTCTTTAAATCTGGAAGGAACAGAGGAAATACTCGCAGGTGTTCTGTTTTCTACAGGTTACAGCTACTGCAGGCCTTCTGTTTTCTGTAAGTTACAGCTATCAGCATTAGCTTAACTCAGGACACCCACTACAATTTCAAGGTGTCCTTTAAGCGCTGAAATGAAGCACACAGACATTCTCACACATCCTTTTAGTGGCACCGATGCCTCTGACTCTCTGACGTCCCTCAGCATTCTCCCTGCAATCATCCAGAAAATGTGAAGATCTGATTTAGGAACCATTCAACAGCTTTGAAATTATTGTCAGAAGGTCCCATGAGACACGTGAGATGTTTAGCTGTTGGAGAGAAGTCTCCACTTTTGGTACACTACATGTGCATTGGTCTAGCCTCTGCGACACTGCAAAAGCAAGTAAGAGCAAGCCCTAACTTTAGCTTCCTTCTAGTAGATTCAGTCATGTGGAGACAACGACCATGAGGCACTTCTACATTCCTCTGTAGAAGTTTTAACACAGGCCCACAGTGATGCACAGTGGTCTGCTGGCCTCTAGAGAGGCACCGACTCTCTGCTCCAGGAAGCTACAAGCTGCATCGCTGTGATCCAGCTCTCTGGCTCCTTGCGGACACTGGACCCCCTCAGGTCCCCCTCTGGTCCTGCTCTCCCTGGACAGACAGGAGAATGGCCATCTGCGATGCAAGAGCTGGCACAGAGCTGCCCCGGCTGCCAGCCGGGATTTGGCCAGTGGCCACTCCGGCAGAGGGGCTGAGGAAAGAGTTGTCAATGGTGGTGCCTCCTCCCCAGCTGCAGCTGGCTGAGTCCTGGGGCCTCACCTCTCTTCCCCCTGTAAACAGCGGGGCAGGGAGTGCATCTGGGGCTGGAGCTGCTGCCACGAAAAGCTTGGGGGAAGTTGAGAGGAGGTGAAGGTGGGGAGGGAGAAGGCTGCTGGCAGAGGTGTGTGGTAGGGCACAACTGGTTGTGCTGAGGGGTGCGAAAAAGGTTGCTGTCACTGGTGAATGGACCCAAAGGGAGCAGGAGGAACACAGAAACCAGGATGGGGATGCTGGAGGGTGTTACATGAATTTAACATCTATGCCATCGCAGCAGTAGGCACGGTGAAAGCAGGACTCTCTAGTCTCAAGCGGTCCTTAGCGAGCTATCTGGAGGTATGCCAGCATGCACTGAACTAGGGAGAAACTAAGAACATGAAAAACATGTCAGGAGAAGAAAAGCCATTTACTCACCACGCTCATGTAATGGAGCATTCGGCCATCCACCTTTCCTTCATCAAACTGGGTCTTATACTGGGGGAGGCCGATGTCATCCAGCCACCCTAAGGCAGAGACAGATGATCATGTCAGTGTGGCAGCAAAGTTACCTGGCACCACTCAGTGTTGCTCTCATTCTTTGAGCCCTAAATTAGCCATAATTAGGAACGCCTGTCTAAAGTTGCTGCTTCCGCATGTAATAAAATCTTACTGGTAACCCAGTGGTAATCCAGCTTCCCATGATTGTTTTCCTCTTCAGATCCGAGCGCCTGCAGAGCGAGCTGAAGCTTCTTCCGATGCAATGGGTGCTTTATCCCAAGCTCCTGTGAAAGGAAAGAAAGCGTCAATCCTAGAGACAATACTGTATTTTATTTCTCCCTCTGCTGAATTACAAATGGTTTCAGAGAGTCACACTGTACTCAGGACTTGCTGGTGACTTAGCAGGTTTATTTTATATTTGCTGAGTATCAGCATCATTTTAGCACGTGTTCAGCACTAGGGAAAGGCCCACTCACTGTGGTGGATTAATTTCAAAATGTGGTGGATTCCAAACTGTAGGAAAATGTCAGCCACAACATTCTTATACCAGGTTAAAACAATCCCACAATATAAACCATGTCAGCATTCAGAAAAATACTTGATAGGATTATTTCCTTCCCTCCCACTTAGGTTAAAAGAATTATTTAGTTAAGAGCATGTGAAGGTCCCATGAACTACTGAAATTTATTAATACTTCCAAATGCATAACACCTTCCCCATTTTAATTGCAAGTGCAGCCATTCCAGGATCTCTTCAATCCCATATACACTTCCACAAGGACTTGCTAGTTAATGTTAACTCTGGTTAACAAGCCACTATGTTCATATCACACTCTTCTTGTTCCACTTGTAGTGTAACTGTAATTTTTAATTAGTTCACTGCATAATTGAGAAAGCAGGCTTACTATTTGCTGAGGAGAGTGATTTTTTAAAAGCTGAAAATTCAAATGTTAGATAATACTGTGGATTCAAAGTATAAATTGAATCAACTTTTATTTCTGACTCTAGTCCTAGAAAAAAGATAATTCTGTAATGATTTAAGACAAAGAGACTGATCCTCTTGTGTGCAACAAATCCTCATTCTTCTTTGTGTAAAATGTGCAGAAAATACAATCAGACAAAACCAGCAGTTTTTATACACGCTTCTCACACAGACATGAAATAACTACAATACACGAGGGCTAATGAATCAGGGCTACAAACCCAGGATAATGAGGCATTCTCACCTTTTAGAAGGTGGCATAGCCAACTGATATGTCCATGCTTAATGAAGTCAAATCACATATTTGTAATTATTAGCTTAATTACAGAACACTACATTTCTATGAAACTTCAACAAAAAAGAAACGGATTTGACTTTGCTGCAGATGACAATATTTTAAAAACTCATCTTGTTTACATTTTTACTGACATGATTTACAGGCACAGAAATAGCAATTTCTTTGTACCTTTAACTGAAAGCAGTGTTTCCAGTATTTCTCACCTTTTCCAGGTCCTGCTGAGAAGCCTGCAGAAGCGTTTGCCCAGACAGTATCCAGTGTTTGCCATTACTTATGTAAGAGCCTAGCCCTTGGTCCTGAAGCCAGTTGCAAACCTGCTCCTTCGTCCACTTTGCGAATGGCGTGTCCAGCTCACTACAGATTTGACCAAAAAAAGACTGATAAATCCCATGCCTCACATCTCCTATTCTCATACATAATGATAAAACCAAAACCTAAGCCTAATTCACAAGTATTCTGTGGGAGCTGGGACAATCTCCAGGGGAGAACATGCATCACGACAGGCCGCCAGGTGAGCCTCCTGTGGGAGGTGTCTCTACTTCTGAACTGTGAGCACCATGAAGTGCTTCGGGCTGCTGATCTTCTGACACTATCACAATAAACACGGTCTATTAATACTCATGAAAAAAACGACCTCTGCTGCTTCGTATGGCTAAAACTCTGAAGTGAGACCACAGTGTTTCATTTTAGCCTTTAATACCCAGAAGAGCAGGCAACATACCCGAGAAGTATCTGCCCCTGCCAGGTGAGGGCTCACACCCTGCTTTACGTGGCCCCCCAGCCGCGCTCCCGTGAGCAAGGCAGGCTCTGCTGGGCAGCAGGAGCCCACGACCCGGCCAACCCCACCCTGCAAAGAACATCTCTCAGAGGAGGAAGCAGCCTGGATCCACCCAGTCCCATCTGCCAGGAGAGGGGACCTTTGGGCACTGCACTCCTCCTCTGGACCCTGTGCTCTACCAGGGCTGGGGAAGGCGGGCACCGTCACGCTTTGCACCACTTGTCTTACCTGTGAGACTGCCCCAGGTCCCGAGACCAGCCCAGTCTTGGGCCCGCAGTTGCTCTTGTCCCTCCTCTTTTGAACTCTGTCTCAGACATGTCATCTGGGTTGAAGGTGGTCGACTGACTTCTTTTAAGCCTAGTTTAAAGGAAGAAAGCATATTCACATTTGGCTAAGGAAAAGGCTTGCTGCTGCTGCTGTAACCAATATAAGTGAGATCTCCTACAGGGTTTGTAGCTCTTCTTCTACCTGCCACCAACCTACTGTTAGTTCTCTCCAATGCCACACTGGCTCCTGCTCTTGACAGTAAACCATGGAGCCACAGGCTGAAGGGGGAAAAAGGGAAGATGTGCTCCCAGCAAACCCCTGCATAAGACCCAGCTCTGAAGAATGGTTATTTCTCATCTTTTACTTACTTTCCAAATAACTTCTTGATCCCCCTGGCCTTTTTCTTGGAATCTGGAGAAGGTGGTGTCATCTGTAGACTATCCGTTTCTTTTGGGCGAGGGGGCAAGCCAGCCAGATCCAAGTGATCTGCAGATCCCTTCTCCGTTTCAGCTATTGGAAAACAAAAGGCCCATCAAGACCCACTTGCGCAGGACTGTACAGATAACACTCCTGAACTTGGAATTGCCTCTTGCTAAAATTACTGAAAACCACCATGTTAAGAAAATGGGGCAAAGAAGGATGGGAAAATCCAGGAGAAACAATACGCGTTCCTCCTTCATGGGCTTGACTGGGCAAGGCAAAGCTCTGCACCAGTTAAGTGCCTTGCATCCAAGGTGGGCAAAAACCACCTTGTGAATCTATCAGTGAATTAAATCCCAAGTTTAGTTTTCCTTGGGGAGTGCTCCTACAGTCCTTTCACAGCCAGAGCTGAGGCACATGGATGCCCAGAAACAGTTCACTGCTGTGCATCCCCGAAGCACAGAAAAATAAGTAATTTCCCTGCAGGCATCTTTCCTAGTAACCTGCAGTATTACGTAAATTCCCCATCCAGGAAATTCCAGGAGCAGAAGGGCCCTTTTCCCCTCACTTCGGCAAACTATGGAATATTTTGTTCCTCTGCAGAGAAGCACCATGGAGTTTAGGCTCTGTCTGAACTACATGTTCTGAGTGATACACAAAGCATCTCTGGTTAGAGACCCTACACATTACCACCCACTCTAAAAGCATTAAATCCTTGAACAACAAACCTGAGGGCTCCTGTCCCCAAAAGCTCAACTAACAAAGAAGAAAACTATTTTAAGATAAATTTTAAAAGAAAACCATAAGAATTGCAGTATCTACTAGGCTACGTAAGCAGCGATATGCCAGCAAGTGCCAGACAGCTGAATAAAACTACCACGTGGAGTTTATGCCCCTTACTAGCTGGGGAACAGTGACAGCACGAGCCTGTTCAGATGAAGCAGCCGTGGCAAGGCAGCCGGCAGCAGGCTGACAGTCAGGCCTGTAACTACTTTTATCATCTTTTAACATGGCCATATAATTAGATGACCATAATTTGTTTTTTAACTGGACTCTCAGACTTCCAGAAGAAAACCAAACAAGTCACACAAGTCCAGGCAGCACATGTATTGCTGGGACACGTGGTCTCAAGCCACAGAGAACGCTGAGGCGGCCACAATGTGCCATAAACAGCAACAAACTGCAGGCTTTGCCAGAGTATCTTTCTTCTGGGCAAAGTTCAGATGATTCAGCCAGAATACAGCTGAACATGTCCCGTTTTCCACCAGTGTTTTAGGTGTTAAACCTTGCAGTGAAGCAACAAGGTCACATAACAGATTATTTCCAGGCACTTTGGTCTGACCACTACTGATAAATGGATCCTGCGAGAGACAGCACTAACGTCGAACCAGGCTTTTGCATTTGTGGTTTTTGCTTTACTTGTATTTAAAAAGTGCTAGCTTAGAAAAAATATGTTTAAACAGCGTTCTAGAGAGAGAATACCAGGACAAGGTTGGGCGCATTAGTAGCGGAGAGCTGCGGGTATTGCAACGTTTGCTCCTTGTCCCTCGCTCCCTTTCATGCACAACCCCATAGAGCAGCCAATATTTAAGGGGCCACAGGGGAAATTGTGAGGGCCCAGATCACTTGGTTTCTTCATCAGTGAGGGGCACACTGGCTGGCTCTACACGGTCCCCCACAACTGACAGAGCTCTGCTTGCTAAAGCAGGACCCTGCAGGTTGTACCCGCTCTTGCCAGAACCACTCAGGGAACACACACATCACAAGACTGGTTTTTACTATGTGAATGGCTCTATCCCTATCTGCCCCAGTTATTTCTCACCTGTTTATTATATGTATCTTAGAAGAGGAATTACGTATCCTTCCCCCCCAGTAGTCCCCTAAGTGAATGCCTGGAAAATATATCTCATTCCCTGCTTTGCCACCCTTTAAGCTCTTCCAGGAGCCACAGGACAGGTGACAGCAAAAGGCGCCTCCGGTATTTAAACATTACCCACACCCACCTGATAGCTTGGCCTGTGGGTAACTTTGTGCTCAAAGTTACGGCAAAGGTCTCTGCAAATTAACCCGCAATCTCTCTCATTAGTAGCAGTTACTGAGAAATGGCGCAGCTGACTTTTTAGCAGAGGGTAAATGTTACATGAAAACTCCTTTTAGTGATGGACAAAGTTTCGATGCAGAGCTCTGGTGTCTAGTTCTTGTCTAAAAAGTGTGTGGCCATAACCAGCTGTTAGCAGCAGTCACAAGACAGCGCTGGTACAGGCAGACATGCAGGATTACTATACCTAAAGTAGGTGCACTTGCACTTCGACTGCGATCTTCAGATATCCAAACAATGCACATAACCACACGCAGCACAATGGGAGAGAACACGCAGAGGGACAAGGTAAAACACAGTTCAAAACTTATATCAGCAAAACACAAGACAAAAGGAGGGAGGTACATGAGACACATGCGCCACACGCAATGCTGAATTCACACAGAGATTAGGATTACCAATTCCATGTTAATCCCCCTCTCACAAAAAAAAGAAATGCAGTAGAGCTCTACAGTGGAGAGGGTAAAACAGCACTGCAGTCACTTCAGTGCAGGGAGGTCACTTGCTCCATGATACATGGGGCAGGTGACTCACATGAGCTCCTGTGAGCTGGAAAGTATCTGGACACCAGCTTTACAGATGAAAGCACTGAAATCTGGATAACATAACTAACTTACTCGTATTCACAGGAGCCTGACTTAGACGGCCCATCTTCCAATCCATTATGACAGCCACAAGTACTCCACTTGGTTAGGCAAATTCATTTCAGGATGAAACAAGTGATTACACAAAAGCACACATGAAGTAAACCAAAACAAAGAGTCCAACCCTCAGAATAAACTGTACATCTATTCCAAGTAAGATAGCAAGTTCTCATGCTATATGTCACAGGTAAAAATGGACAATGTATAATAAATGTGTAGGTATGTTATTTCTTTTGAACAACAGTCAGAAGTTGTCTTTGAGTAAGCAAGAACAGGAGATTCTTCCACTCAGCAAAGCAGAAGCTATCCCCCTTAAGGCTTCTGAAGGATAAATTCCTAAGTCTTGTGCAAGAGAAAGCCAAAAACTTAGATGAATGGCAGTAGATCTGATGCACAGACTCCCTTGATGCTTGACCTGGAACAGTGGAAAGACTCCTACAGCAGAGCAGTGAATGCAAGTAGGATTTCAGTTGGTGGCAACACCAACTTCTGCATTAAGCAGAATATTTTATTTCTTTGTCATGCAAATTCATCAAATTACATTATCAAAACAACTCCCCCTCCACTACATGTCCAAAAATCAACACAAGCTTGAATAACTTGTGAATCTTGTTCCTGTTGTTACCATCTCTTTTGCAAGGCTGCTTAAACACACAAAAAATAAAGAGGAAGACTGAGTGCTGCTGCCGCACTTCTGTACATCTGAAAATCTTATGTAGGATAAACTGAGGATGGAGACAGGGGGAAAAAAGCCCACAAGTCCCATTTGCAAACTACTGCCAGCCAGCTAGCATTTCAAAACAGCTGCAATCCACTGCAAGATGCCAGGGAGGTATCATAGCAGAGGCTGACACAGAGCAAATACTTCATGACATCAGTGAGGTTTTTTTCTGGGGTTTTGGGTTTTTTTCTGTTTTTTTTTTTTTTGTTGCTGTTTGATATTTTCCAAACATTCTACTGAGAAAAGTGCCACAAAGTCACAGTGAGACTAAGGCTACCCTTCCTGCTTCTTAAGACAGTTACAGCTGTTAAGACCCTTCAAAGTACACAGAATCTGCATGCAGGTGCACAATACCTACCCAGATTGGGGGCACTCGCAGTCCTCTTGTTATTTTTTATCTTGAAAAAGCCTCGTCCAAATGAAGATCTGGCTTTACGGGTACCAAAACTATCCTCATCGCCTGTGCCACCGTGAGAAGGAGACTTTGGAGGAAGGGTTGCGAAATTATTACCTTCCACGGGAGGTTTAACCTGATCAAGTTAGGGAAATAAAGATTCAGTATCGGGGAACTGCAAGGCTGCAAAGTGACTGCTGCCAGATAATCTGGAGAGCCCCTCTCATTTGTTACTACAAGAAAACAGAATGTAAAGGCCATAAAAGAAAACATAAACAAGATCTTCATTTGAATATGTTTGGAACCCAGGATTACTATCACTACCTTCTAAGAGTAACCTGTCTTCTTTAAGATGTTTCTCAGTTTCTGCAAGGCTGGCTTACAGGTATGGAAAAGGCAAAAATACAGTCCTGGAAGGCTTTGAACTTTTCCAGCTTTCCAGGGTTGCTGTCTCTCCCACTGGCAGCTGTAGAGGCAGCAGGAAGCAAAGAGAGAGACAAGACCCCCATAGTATGTTGGTTCTCTGCCAAGTGTCAGACAGCTCTTTTTGTCTATCCCTGCTCTGCAGTTTCAGAATTAATGAATTAACTATGTCCACTGCCAAAGCTAAGAGGAAATTAGGAATCAAGCAAGGAGTATAAATGCCAAGACAGACATCAGACACACCAGTTAACCAAGAAAGCAGAGGTTTTAACCTTGCTGGTTGTTTTACTGTCTCTTTAAGAAGGATGAAGCAAACCATTTACAACCCAAACAGGATCCTTTGGCTTTTGCTGAATCGACACAGCATCCACCCTACAAGTGGTATCTGAGGTATGTCCTCTCTGCTCTGGTCTCCCATAGGTATCAATTGTTGTGTGCAAACTATGGCCGTTCTGTGCCACAGGGGGACTGCTTGGCAATGATCGTCTTTTTAGGAACACAGTTGGTAGTCATAGAAAACAATCTGGAAAGCCAAAGGTTTTTAAAGAGATACTAATCAAAGGTAATTACAGAGTCAGTAAAAATACTTAATGGCTAGCTTTTCTAATTATCTAGTGGTAGAATCTGTGGGGGAAACATTAGCTTAGATGGCAACCCTATGCTCAACCGGACTGAAAGACATTCCAGTGTGCAAGCCTGAACTGCAGCGATGGTGACAACCATCATATACTCCTTGCTATCTTGTCTGTAGGTCTGCCATTCCCCCTCTGGAGCTGCAATTTCACACAGCTGAGCCTTTCAACACCCGCTCGCTGTGTTTCCCCACGCACGCACACGAGCGCGCACACACACATTACCTCTGTCGGCTTCTGCGCAGCCTCTCTGTCCTGTTTGGGAAGGGTTAAGAAAGACATTTAAAGACATTGGTTTATGGCCAGTATTCAATTCATTATGATTACCCTCAGTTAAACACTGACTGAAATACTCTTCCCTGCCTATTTTTTTCCCCCTAATCTAAATCTCTTCAGAGCTGTATTTCACACAGATTAATTCTTGCTGTCTTTGAGGTCAGTGAGCTGACATGAAAATACGGCCGCTTTGGTTTAACTTTGTAAAGGATTAGCTCTGTACATAATTAGCGACATGCAGTCTGTTAAGGCACTAATGGACACACTGGCTGAGGGGACCCAAAGCAGGAATCAGACAGGATAGAAGCCAAGTAGATAAAATATCCACAGCCTCCACTCCTTGGCTGTCCAAACGAACAAAAAACCCCCCAAACCCTAACACATGAACTAACTGTGGCTTCCATCATCGAGTTCTGGTGACATTTTCAGTGCTGTCAACATCCCTCCCAAGCTGTAAGACACAGCTCAGCAGCTTGGGTATGGGGGAACTTGGGAACTTTTAAGAGTTTAGGCTATCAAAAAGGAGCACAGGAATTACCCTGATTTAATCACATTGTTAGAGGCTACCTGCTTTTGGTCACTTGGAGACCTAAACTGAAGTTATCATCAGACATACAAAGGCTCACTATTCTGTTCCCAAGCACCTAAAACATACAGGCACCCCAGACTGTATTTTACAATGCATTAATTACATGACCTTGCAAAATTATGTGCCTTAAACACAGGTAGGAAGTGGTAGTGGGACTTCCATTTCTTCTTGTCTTAAATCAGAAAACATATCAACTAAAAAAAACCCCAAACCTCATTATTTGAGGAAAAACACAGCAAGAGAGTCTCAAGTAAACACCTCATTAAAAAAAAAAGAAAAAAAAAAGAAAAAAAAAAGAAAAAAGGTGCCTTCTCCTTTAATAAATTTGGAAGATGTCACATGTGTGTGACCACTGTTAACACGTGACGTGAGGAGCCCTACTCTGACTCAGAATTTCTCAGAAGGCAGCAACAAAGCGTCCCCGGGGTCACTGTCACAACAGAGACATCACCTCTATTTCTAAGGGGGTGGGAGGAAGTAGGAGACCAAACCAACCACTTCAGATGTCTCTTTTCTCAAACTGCTCAGACTGCTGGACTTCTGCAGCAAAGAAGTTCTGAAACAAACAACATAAAACCCAAGCCAAGTTACTGGAATGAAATTTGCCAAGATAAATACACTTCCAGGAATCAGCTTTAAAGAAAGCATTATCATACATGATGAGATATACTAAAACAAAGACATTTTGAATTAAAGCAGTCAGTACACTGATCAGATCTCACAGAATTTGTTGAGATAAAGTAATAACTTCCACATTGTAATTACTGCTGCTAATGCTTCAGTGACATGATGCCTACCTTTGAATATTTTTAGCTTCTTATTTAATGTTTTATTTTCAGAAGAACAAGCAGAAGTTACACAGGCAAAGGAAGTGATATAAACAAAAGCTATGAAAACCAGTATTTTTAGCAACACGCTTCTGACTAATTTAATCCTTAAAGAAGCCAAGTACATTAAATCAAGCATGTCATGTGTGTTTTAGTATTTTATCTTCAGTTCCATCTTCCATTTTGGACCCGGTATCTCCCAACTTCTGGTGGGATTTACAGTCTAGAACACTTAAGTCTGGTTGAAAAGAAACTTACCACTAAAGCTTTTCCCACAACCAGATATAAATTATGAGTAACTTCACTGCATTTTTACAAAGTTACCTATCTTTATACCAACATAAGGGGAGTAGCATTTGGCTTTGGGAATAGTCTCATGGCACTGACTAAGTCACTCAAAATAAAAACAGCTGCTGAGCCTCACACTGTGTACCAGATAAACCCTGTTGACTTAGGCTCCTTACTAACAAATTGCTTTGACTCAAGTTCATAAATAGTCCCACTGATTTCCCTAGGGAATATGGCTATGTGGCAGAAATTAAAATTATTTTCTCACTGTAGTCAGCTGATCACCCTTCCCCCACTATCAAAAGAAAAAAGCAAATCACATGGGCAAGTACTAAGGAAAAATCTGCATTTCAAAGTACATTGACAGTCTACAACCCAATTAGAGATGCTTCACAGTGTAAAAGAAATTAACTGTACATGTGCACAGATAAAGCACTGGAAAAATAATGACCACGAAAACAAAGGGCATGAGCAGAAAACTACCACCACTAAATATCATCTTAGCTAGAATTAGTTAACATATTTACATGTGTATGTAAAGTAAGCGGGGCGTGTTGCGAGGGGTTTCAAGTGGACAATCACATACAAATATGTTTCCTAAACATTTTTGATTATGATACTTACGCTGGACTATCACACAGTTGAGTTTCTGGGGAGGAACCTCTTGATCGTCCTTCACTGGAAAAACAAAAAAAGATACGAAACAAGTAAGGGATTTGGGGATCCTATCCAAATACAGAAACCCTATTATCTCAACCTGCTTTTTTCACTTAGTTGCTATGGTACTACAACGTCAAATTTTCCCCTCTACGGTGGCAAGTCTTGTAAAAGATAAAAGGCAAAGGTGAACTCGAGTCTCCCAGGAAAGACAACTCGCACTCTAAATTTCTGACAGTACTGTACTATTCAGTTTAAATAAACACAGAGGTTACAATGTGCACAGGGTCTGCAGCAGCACCGAGTAGTGGAGGTCACCATCTCCCTGGGAGGCACCCACAGTGCAGGGCATTTTGCTGCAAGTCAGTGATTTGTTTTTTTCCAAGACAGGACACAGATGAAATCCCTGCTGGTGATGGCTAAAGCTACATGAGGCACAGCACAGCAGAAACCAAGCAAAGCTGGTCTTCTGGATAGGATGCTTTCCTTGGCTGGAACTGGAAAAACCACAGATCAACATGTGCTTGCACTGATTTTTCACATCGAGATTAATGATTGTTTTAAGTCAACAAGATTTCCTTGACTCTGGATTCTTAGTATTTGATACTCATTTAGATAAAGCCAGGGATTTTGACCCAAAATAAAAACCCCAAGTGTAGCCTTTGCCTAGCTGTGAGTCCGGTGTGCTTTTCAGTACTCACTGCATCCCAGTCCAGATCTGCAGGGGCTGGGTTTCCTCACCCAGGCAAGGAGGGTGCAGGCTTAGAAAAGCTGCAGGAAGCTGACAGCTACTTCTCACCCAGGAGAGTTCACCATTGCTGGGTCCAAGCACAGGGGCCCCTCTCTGGGAGCCACAGCTCAGCCAAAGCCCCGGGGTGCAGCCACACATCCCCACCCTGCCTTCCCCGGGACGCTGCGCCCACACATTTCGTCTGGCTTTCAAAATCTCCTAAGAGCAAATGAAGAAGTATCTTTGCATTTCATGATGCCAAATGAGAGCAGCAAGAATATCTTTCTCTGATGGTTTGAAACGCTGCCTGGATTTCCTTCTGGTGCTCCATTAACAGCTCAGGGCTAGAGCTGGACAGTCCTTGTGTTGCAGTTTTGGCAGTGCCTTACACCAAACTTTAGCAACTGGGGAAAATGTCTGAATGCAAATCATCAGGAATGCATTTGTGTTAGCACAGCCAACACTATCTCAGCCAGACCTGGATGATGTAAGCCTAGATAAAAATAATGATTTTGTGTCCTTCATTACATTAGATCAGTTTTTTCTCTCCTTCTGTTCATTCCTTGCAAAGCAGCTGGTACAGAGTATGAGTGCTGCTACAAGCAACAGCAACCAAACTAGTACACTTGCTTACTGAAAAAGATTTAATCAATGCACTTCAAGAACATAACAAGACAATGTCTTGACAATACAGTAACTGATAGATTATTATTCTCATTAAACATCACAGGATATTGGATTTACAATTGAAAAATACGTGGAAACAATAATACCTCATTTCACTTGCAGGATCTGGCCTAGGCTGTGTTTTCACTTTCTCTGCAACAGTTTCTGAGCTCTTGGATGTTGATGAAAAAGAAGGAATTGAAATCTGTAAAATACTGGTGTGGATCTGTAAGGAATTCTAAAAAGAATATGTGTTACATAGTTTTGAGCTAGAATTAAGCAGTCATAAATGAAAAAAGAGTAATGATAAACTATGAGAGGAAGGATCTGAATCAAGATTTTTAAAAGTGTTTTTTTCTTCTGTTGTAATACAATGATTTACTACTTGAAAGATGACACTGAAGACAGAATGTGAATCACTGCACAGATAAGCTACAGCACGGACAAAAATCTCACAAGTCTCCCCAAACTACCTTCTAACTCTACCTCTACCCTGGACCCCATGAAGGGTAGTTCACTTTTCAGGTTTACCCCTGTCCTCAGCCACTCAGAGAACACCAAAAAGATGCTAAACATTTAATTTATTTTTCTTCATAGTGTGTTCATGCTGTAACTCAAGCAAGTCAGTCAAGTCTCTGCTCTGACTCAGTGTTAAGAGGAGAGATCTATAGTTTTATTACTGGAAAATGTGATTATAAAAATCAGAGATTGGACTATGTTATAATCAGACAAAGCCAATTCTTATAAAAATATAGATTTTTATTTGGGTTCAATCAATTTAGGGTGGGAAGCAATAGGCAAAGCAGTGCTGGGTGCATGGAGGACTACAACCTACCTGCCATTTAACTGAATGGATGTAATGATGATTGCATCCTTTTAAATATGACAGGATATATTACATAAGTCCCAACATGTTTACTTCAAGTTCCTGACAAATTAAATGCAGCTCCTAAAACAGCTATGTTTGATATGAAAAGTAATTTCTATGTTTGACAGGAAAAGAGGTTTAGACCCATTCTCATAACAAATACAGCTATTTGCTGTCTCCTGATCCCATTTAATGATTAAGAAAAAAAATTTAACTGAACTCAAATGAAACTCCTCATCAGCCTTTACAAGAAAACTACATTCTCCAAAACAATATGGGACATTACTAAAAACTGTGTAAACCAGAAGAAAATCTTTTTGGAAACTTGAGTTTTGGCATCTGCAACATGAATCCAGCACAAGCAATGTTTTCAAGGAGTGATTGCATTAAATGAGGAAGAAAAAAAGATACCTCTTCGTGAATATTCTCATTAAACTCATCGTGGATTGGAGATGCTGTTACTGGGGTTGAGGATGGGCTTTTCTCTGGGTCAGTCAGACTTGGTGTGTCCAATAAAACTGTGGAAACAGACCCTGAATTCAAGAAGTCTTCACCGTCACTTTCCTTGCCTGCAGGGAGAGAAGATGGAACCTTGTTGGCTTTGCTTCTGGACACATGATGACCTTCACTTCCAAGCACAGCACAGCCACCCTGCTCATTTATGGGCCAAAAAGGGAAGAGGCTAGGATTACTTTTTTTTAAGGACAGATTACAATAGAAGAAGGGGAGTCATCGCCAAATGTCACTTCCCAATTCAATCACCACAACATCACAGGGTTGGAGCAGAGGGAGGACATACATCTGACAGCAAAAGGCCCAGCAAATGCCCTCAGGGCATTTCAACAAGCTGAGTAAACTGGAGTAGTTATTTCCTGTCCCATGTTCTGGAATTTTATCCCTTATTCACTAGGGAAAGACCAGGGGGTCAAGTCTTAAGATGCCTCTATGCTATCTTCACGATACCCACAGGAAAAATACATCCCACTGCACAAGAGTCTAACACCAGCTTTTACGTGACTACATTATGTTTGCAGGCTGCCACAAACGGAGTGTATCTCGTTCAGTTAACGCTGCAGCCCGCACCAGTACCTGGCACCCTCTGCTCCCAGTGAGCGACTTGCTGCTCCTGAACTGACTCAGTACTACTCAGAAGGCGCTTGGATTTCCACACTTGTTGATACCAGAGTACTGACACTGACAAGAAAAAGTTAATCAACACTGAAAAGTGAGCAGAAACCTAGCACTTGTTGCCAAAGATCTGATGCGAATACATGCCATAGTCTGTTCACAGAAAAAACCTCTCTTGCTCATTTTTTCCTGCCTGAAATCTCTGTCCATGCTCCATGACTTGACCATTAAGCACAGTTCCCAGAGACTCGAGCTCTGTTTTAACCTCTTCCTGTCTTTGAAGGCACAGCACTGGGTGACAGAGCAACACCTATCTGACACACACTTCTCCTCCCACACTCAGCATGGTGTTCCTCGCCGATCACATGCTTTCCCAGCCTCGCAGACCGAAGACATGCAGCTGTGTCCTTAGTGACCCGCAGTGGGTGCAAGGAAGGAAATCCCTCACATACCAAGATTCAAAGCCCACAGTTTTCAGCCCAGCTTGCTCTGGCACATGTCAGCTCCTGTCCAGGCTTAGACCCGTGATGCTGGACTGAGAGAACCCGCCCCAGAGCTGCAGTGCTTGAGGAGGAGCAGGACAGGCAGCTGGAGGTTGAGAGTGTTCACGCGGCCCTGTGAACGCCCCCACTCATTTCTGGCTATTGAAAATTTTTGCTCTTTGAAAGGATCTCTTGGGGCTCTGACATACTTCTCCTAGGAAGGCCATTCACTTCCAACATCTGCACAGCCATGAAAAGCCACAAGCCTTTGTCCTACAGAAGCTCAGGCAACAAGCTCGGGTCAATTCAGGGTCTGTGGAAGGCTGGACTCAGTGACAAAGGAGGTTTCCATATGGTGGTGATATAGCGTGGTGCACGGACTTTTAAGTTACGTGTATACCACATGTGCATACATTATCAGAATGCTAATGTCTAAAATTTGCTGGGGACAGCTCTTTCAGAGGACAGTGACCTACAAAACACAGCTCAAGTTCTGAAATAACAGGATGATGCAGGGAAAATAACCCACCAGGACAGGATTATTTCTGTAAGGGGAGATGTTAATTTTCTACCATCTAAGTGTTTTCATCTGAAAACCCAGAACCACTTCAGTTATGATGTTCTACATGTGTTTATTTTGATTTTCTTTTAACAAAGAAAGGAGAGAGATGGGGCATTCAATGCAGTTACATCAAACTGATGACCATCTCAACATTTATCATTTCTTGGGATCAGAAGCTCCTGATCTGGAAACCTCCACCAGTCTTGGCACATACAGAATGGACTGTTTTATGTCACAGTATGTACCACACCTACCATTTCAGCCACACAGTTAAGCTCATTATCTGGTGGCAGAGAAGAACTTTTTTTTTGAGGGGGTGGTGTGTGGTGTGTAAAAAAGACTGGTAGGAAAAGCCAGCCTGGGCCCCCACTGCAGTAAGGCAGGAGAACTATTCTACAGCTGCTGCACGTGGTGGTTTGTGAAGGCTTCATTACATGCCAAAGACATGGCGTGTCATCACGACACCGTCCTGGCAGCACACCCGCTTCACTACTGACATTTCTGCAGCTCTTGGGCATTGCTATTACAGCATGTGCAGCCACCGGGGCGGTGCTGGTTTGGCTTGTAGGAATGTGCATGCTCAGGCGCTGTTCTGCTCAGCTACCAACTCCTCCCCAAGGATACATGCAAGAGAGAAACAGCAATTTTTAGCAGTTAATGAAGCAGCCAGCCCTCAAAGGCATTTAAGAAGGCTATGGAAAGACCCTGAGAGCTTATCATATTCAAACTAATTTTACAAGGGCGAAATAATCAACATGACTGGGACAGCACCCAAATGTGCAGCTGCCTGGACAAAAAGGCAATTTACCAGTTCGCACCAGTCGAAGAACTGGCTTTTACTCTAAGAGATGCCTCCAAAGGTAAGTCTAAGAGTCAATATAACACTACCACAAAGCACCTGGAGTTTAAATGAGAGTAAAGTTTAATTTTTTGGATTGGACAATACCTTTTTTACCTTGAGCCAATATCACCATGTCTTGAACTTTCTTGTACCTATTCAGTGATTGCCGAAGCTCTTCTATCTTCCGATCCTAAAATAAAGGGAAGTTGTGACTGTGCTTCTTCCTTCAGCAAATCAAAAATAAGAAATACAAATACTAGATATTTGTAGATATTCAGTTTAATGGGTTTTAAGACTAAAAGAAACAGGAAGTGTGGTTGGGACAGGACCCAGAAGTCTGAGAGGCTTTTAAACATCAAAACTTGTATTTAGCAGAAACTATCATCTGGTTAATTACCAGAATTGTCCCAGCCTTGAACGTGGGTTTCAGCTCCCTTATTGTCAAAGGTAAAGTATAATACATTTTCCACGAACAAAGAAAGTAGTAATCAAAGGAGTTAGGGCTTTGGTGATCAAAAGAAAACATCCTACAGAATGCATATGAATACACAAAGCCATACATGAAAACAATTCATCCTTTACAGAAAGCCCTTTTGGAAATGCAGCCCATGATATTTCATGGGACTTGTATGGAGTTCTCTGCGTTTTCAGAACAGGGTGTAAACTGCAGTCACACAGAACTGAATGATGCAACAGTGTAAGGTCTCTGCGTGCATGTGATAAGAGCTCATAAATGCTCCATTACAGTCCCTTAAAGGCACTGCAGTGCTTCTCACTATAGTGAATCACTGATTCTTACAAATCTGACTTTTTAATTTAATTGTGACAAGTTCATATGTGAGGATTTTCTTAGAGATTTAACTCAATCTGATGAATGATTACTGAAAAAATAACTTTGCTACCTTCTCTTCATTTGCTGCCATTAGAGATTCTACCGCCTTCTTCATTTTCTGTACCTCTATATCTAAAAACACAATACAGTTCTCTAAGTCAATTTAAATAAGACAGTGTAAGGAAATAAGTAAACAAAAAACCTAAAAGCAACTCGGTAATATCTGAAAGCAAATTTACAATTAAAAGACAAAACATAAAGCACTTAATTCTATTTTAGATGGAAATATATAGAAGAAAATACTTTTTCTGACATTCTTATCACGGAAATGATGAAATTCAGGAAATTTCCTTACTCACCCTCCCAGCCTTAGGAAAATGGAAAAGTGAAGAGTAAAACTACTGCTTGACTTTCATTATCTCCATCTTTCAAATAATTGCAAAACAAGAAGTCCAAAATATAAAAATACTACATTTGGAATGCACTAACACATATCCTCATTACAACAGTCAACAAACACCCCCAATGGCATCTCAAAAACCCACTACACAAAGCAATAGGATTAATGAATATGATGAAGAAAGCACTGTGCAGTGATGCTTAGTCTTAATTCAGTATGGATGTAGAAATGAGGACAGCACAATGGAATTATACAAGTATTTGCTGTGATGAGCAGTCATGCCAGAACATATATTGTAGTTCAGACTTGAAAAAGGTCCCCAGTACAGATGACAGTGTTCTGTGCTCCATCTATAATCCTTATTTACAAAGCATAAATACATGGAAATATGTATGTTCTAACAGGGTCAGATTTTGGAGGTGTCCTGGACTAGAATTCAAAAAGAATGGAAATAATCTCCATTTTTACTAAAAATCTACCTTGCATAAATGAAGTAAAATTTTGTTCCAAACACAGGCAGGTAGACAAATTCACAAGCAAGAAAATATTTTATCTTGGTTTAACTTCCTAAAATTTCTTGGCAAACAAATAGAGTGGGAAGAACATTTTCCTCCTTAATGAAATGCAGGAAGAAACAAGCTGCCTGGTTGGCTTTCTAGATGAAAGACATTCAGTCATGTTGAGCTAAACCAGCAACGATCCAATTCCAGTGATTTTCACTCAGTTATGCTAACTGGAAATCTGGTTTACTGGATTGTGACTGCATTTCGTTGAGAGTCACCTGTTCTGTGAGTCTCCAAGAGACCAAATCTTCCTTTGTCTATCAGCTTTTTTTCAGAAAACTTTGTATTTCAAGTGTGATATATCCACCCTTATTCTCAAATTTTACTGTAAATGTAACTAAGGGTTATAGATGATGCAACCTAACAACGTTTGTTAAAGCATTTTTGCAAACACATGCAGAAAGCTATTCCGGAAAACACTTCTGAAATGCAAATGCTTGTGGAAAGATACCAGAAACCTTACTTTTATCTTTGAGCTTCTTTTTACAATTTTCATCTGCGCAGGAAAATCCATTGGATTTGAAATTAGCATGAGAGTTATGACATTAAATAACTTTTAAGACAACAATGACACTTAGGGAGTCAACTATTCCTCACTTACTGCAGAAGCAAGCAGATCACGGTTTCAACCTGCACTCCCCCGGTGCTAGTGTTCCTAATGACACAATCTCACCCCTCTCAAAACAACTACCTGTCTCAAGGATATCTTTTTCAACTGTAAATTTTCACTTGTAAAGCCTCAGAAAAGGCTTATGCCAATAGATTACTCCTAAGCTAACACTTTACTAGCAAAAGCCAGCTAAGTGATAAAGTATGAACATTTGTTCAGAAAGCACAATTCAGCTAATGGGGCAGATAAAAAACACGGTCCATCACTGCAGAAGACCTCCTGCTGAGCTATACTGAAAACTAAAGCTGAAAACCAGAAAGTGGTGGGAGTTCAGCATGCACAGCGGCCTCCAGGAAGGAAAGACCATATAAGTAGTCACAAATGCAACAAAGTCAGCCCTTGTTCACATTTAAATGTTCTTTTTTTAAAAAAAAGTAATCATGGTTCAATGTGGTCACTTTTAGTGATCTTATGCTGTGGTTTTGAAAGCAGATCATTTTATTAAATAAAATGTGACAATTTACACACAACATTTTCCTCCTCAGGTCAGGGGAAGAGACTCCTGTGGCTTTATCCTTCTAGAAAAATGTACTTTAAGAGCACAGTCTTAAAATTTGCAATAACTATCAGTGAGTATATTCAGAAGTGAAACTGCAGCAGGTCAAAAAAAAATCTGGAAAATTTTTGTGAGGCTTTAAAGAAAAATTTCTATTTTAAAATAAGGTCCTGAATCTAAGTTTCCTCCAAATAAATACTGATTTATTTCATCTTTGCAAGCAAATAAAAGAATTATCTGACTTGTAAAATTTCTATGCTAATTCAAGCTTAATTAGGATTTAGACTTAACCAGTGCACAAATCCAGAATCAGTCCTCAGTTTCACCTACTCACGGATAGATCCACACTGCAGATTTCCTGGTACAGATCACACTTTGGTTTGCAGTGTGGCTTTTCCTTTTCCTTACCAGTAAGGGGTGTACAAGCAAAGGCCAGCATAGATACACAGAAAGTTTCCTTCTCAATATAATCTTTTTGTGGAACTTGTTGAAATTAGTTTAAGGATTTCTTTATCAATATAAACTGCATCTTTTGAGGCACCATGCAAGCCATGTGAAGAGCTAACTAGGGATTACTTAGGCTAGTTTAAAGTTGATCAAAAACTTGCTAAGTTCAGCAGTTGCATTGTGAACACCCACTAAATATTAAAAGAAGTAAACACAGAGACAGAAAGTATATGAAAATTGAGGGGTTTATCTCTTATTTCCTGGACAACCATTAATGGAAGCATCACCTCAGATGAGGTGACTGGGGAGGACATGGTGAGAGAGTCTCCCTTCTTCTTACCTCTGTCCAGTATTTCAATTCCTTCTCCTTTCAGCTTGCAAACCAATTTTTCTTGCAACCTTTTTACCTCCACTTCCTTCTGCTCCAGTTTATCTTTCAAAGCTGATAGCTCATCCTGTAACAGACAAAGAATCATTCAGTGACAGCTTCCACACGCATCCAAGACGTTTCCAAAATCCCCTCCTGCAAAGCACAGTGGACAAGTCCTCAGCCAGTGGAAACAACCGAAGGCCCCCTGACATTTACACTGACTGAGGGTACACCCACCAAACGACTCTGAACATCACAACAGACTGCTGAGTCCATAGGGAGGCAAAACCAGGGGGCCTATGGTCCGAAAGCGCTGGTCTCATGTACAGAGATGTTACATCTAAATTTAAAAAAGGAGTAAAGCAAAAAAGAAGCTTTCTTATTTATTTAACCTTGCAGAGACAGAAAAACTGCAGGTGATGAGGCTGAATGCTAGAATTTACCAACGTTTTAGTATTTATAGGGCATTTTTCATGTTCAAAGCTGGACAATTATGGAACCGTGATTACACTAGGCTGAGGACAGTTTCAGAAATAACCACTGCTTCTATGAAAGAAAAATCAACCACGACACCATCAAGCACAAACACATACTGGAAAGCAATTCAGATGAAAATGTGGTACTTTTGACATGGTTTGGGTTTGCTGATCAAGCACTGGGAAAGGAAGCTTAGAGTTCAGATTCATGGGAGTAAGACAGATGGTGTTTGGGGGAGTTGGGGTGTATTAGATAAATGCTGTCAAATTTTAACTTAGATCTAACCATCTGCACTAGCAAATGACTGGCATGGATCCATGCATTTAACTTTTTAAAATTTGAGTAAAATCCTACACAGTTTAGTAACATGTTTCTTTGATGTCCGAGGATATCCTGTGCAACAGCATCATCAAGACAGGACCCTCAGTGCAATGTACCCAACACTGAAAATTTAATTTGTTCAGTTTGTAAATAAAGCAAGGCAAGACTCATAATTTGGCAGTTACAGCTTCTAACTGAAATTTTAAATCCTTAAAGGAATAAACCAAACTAGAATACCGTGGTTTAGATATATTCCCAAGCTTCCCTCAAAAGATCTGTTGTAAATATACTGTGAGGTCTGCAGACCAAACTATGGCCCAGACTGTAGAATTTCCTAAAATTGGTTCCTGTTTGCTCTAAAGCATCATTTAAAAAATAGATCTATCTTAAAATTGTCAAGAAATCAAAGATTCTTCCAGAACAGTGGTTGGGCAATACAATTCTCCAGTGCTCCAATTCAGAACTGATTTTGATGGGGTTTCTGTCAGTGTAGGACCCATGCTTCTCCAAAACAAGACCACCTCTTGGCCACTTGAAAAGCTGCTGCTATACCCATGGGCAACTAGAGCTGCACATGGTTGTTGATGGGTATTGCTTCCCCTGAATTAGAAACATGGTATGTAAATTCACATGTGGGAGAGGGGACAGTATAAAGTAATCACTATTTTCTAGCTAGTTTTCATGAATAAATTTTCTCTAAAAAGGTGAGAAAAGTTCCATTTGAATAATGGATGTGAGCTACAGAGAGGCAATCTTCCCTTGGAGGGGGAATGATTTTAACCCGAGTCTAATTCCACTATGTGTAACCTACGCAGAGTTCACAACACTAAAATCCTCTCCCGTTCAATATAAAAGCTGTTTACAAGGAATATCCACATAAACAGTTTTCCACATCTAATGGGAAAGAGCGCACTGCATATCAACACACAGCAATTAATGAGGAACAGAGCACGACAGCACGATGCAAGACAGACCGTAAAGTGGTGGAACATGAAGGATTTGAAACAGGCCCAATGTTACCCAAAAACTACTACACCTTTAGCATCTGGCTTTTTTGCTCCATCCGCTGCTTTTCATACTGCATCTGACCCACTTTGATTTTCATACTAGAAAGTTTGGCCATTAATGACTGGTAACAGAGACAGAGGAGTGAGAGAAAACTAAAGATAGAAAAGAGACAAGGCTAAATGGCAAAGAGAAGTTAGACACTCACAGAAACAGGCTGCTAGAATTACTTAGGTGAATGGTCTCTTCAGAAGTGGCTCTTTTTTAGCACATTTAGGAGAAAATAACCGCTCAGCTTTGGTCTCACCTATGGCACACGCCTTATGTACCGCAACTGGTGTTTCTTGATGCATATGTGAAATAAGGTAATAAATATACTGTTACCAGCCAGCTCCATGGCAAGTTACCCTTCATGAAAAACAATGCTCAAATCTGAAAACCACAGCACGAAATCTGGAAAGAACCCATTGCTAAGCGAGTACCATGAAGCCCCCAGGCCTGAGTGTGCTCAGGATTTTGCAGGGTGCAAGTGAGGACTGGGGAAAAGAGAGCCATCTTCTAAAGCCTGACTCAGACCCATTTCTGCTTTTTCCCCTCAGCCTCACTTACTTTGGTTGTTTTCAGTTTTTTCTCATACTGTAGTCTTTCATTGTCCATTTCTCCCACTCTCAACCGCAATTCATTTATTTCCTGGATCAAATCCTGTGTGAAGGGAGAAACAAGACCAGAAACAACAAAGAAATTCAATAAACAAAACCAGAACAGCTACCCATTGGTAGGACTGTAAAAACACAGCAGCAACAGAAGGCACTCCATACACAAAAACACATTACCCAAATCCATAGCTTAGTGCTAAGTTGAGCAATTCAGAGATTCCTAGATATTTGGGGACTGTACTTCTCCATTTCTGCGCTACTGTACTGAGTGCAAGGGGACAGAGGACAAAGGCAGACATAAACACAAGTTCTGTTCCCTGTGCTGGGGGCCAAGAAAGGCCTCCTGCCCCTCTGGGACAGCATGTTCACTGCCCACCAGTGGACGTTCACCACCATGAATGGGTAATCCTTCAACACGCAGCAGCCACACCCTCCCCTCCCCAGCCCCTCGCACCCAGGCTTGCCAGTCACTACCCGCCTTCTCAAAACATGAAGCAATTGCAGTGTAAATCCATGTTTCTGCCACTCAAACGAGCCCCTCTAACTGAGGGCTGGATGGAAGACTTATCACTGGTTTCCACAAGCACAAAGGCACATGTGTTTGAGCATCAGTGGTGTCACTACATCCGAGCTTTGTGAATTCAGCCTGGTTTGGAAGAAACTCAGGAGCCACCGCCAACTCACATCTGAGCTCTTCAGCAGATGGCTAACCTCCTGGCCATCCTGCTGGAGAGACCGACCAGGTTTGAGTGCCACCAGCTCTACAGCTCCGTTCCTGCAGTGGTCAAACAAACCCTGAGCTTGACTGTGCCATCAAGGTGCAAGGCATCCTTTCGCCAAACCTCTCAGTCCTCCAGATGGGGAAATGGCATCTTGAGTGGCCAGCTGCAGGCCTGGACCGTGTCCCTCCACATAAGAGGTACCATATATCACAGCTTTTTGGGAAAATAGTCTTCCTGCTCAGCAGGGGGAACACATTACCAGGAAGCTGTGGCTTTTGCACAACTCAACTACGTCCAGCAAGCTTCTGCCTCATGTAGATGACACTGACCTTTTGCGTATGTATGGGCACCAGATCAGTGTCAGATTTGTGTGAAAGAAGAAAAAAGAAGAAAAAAAAGCAGTTTCTCAGCAGCTACTGTAATGCTGTATCACCAGTAAACTCTTCAAAAGAGGAGATAAGCTCTTTTTGCACCCCAGAAAACATAAGAGGCCTTGAACTGCAGCGTAACAGCTTTTAAACTACCAAGAAGATAGTGTGGTACTCAAGTCTGCCTGCCTTCCTACACAGAAAGGCAAATCCTCGACATGTCAAGCAACGCTGTACATCAAGCTAACAACTGTAAGCATAATTTTTCAGAGCTAATTGTATTATTGAGATTTATAAATTAACAAGCTGACGTCTAGAAGGTATTCACTAGTGCCTCGTAACACCTGCCTTCCAGTCCCACTCCACATTTTCTGAGCTTACAAACCTCTGGTTATTGTTTTGTGCTTAACAAATCTGACGACAACAGAGCTGCATCTGTATTTCTTTAGCAAGAACCAAACTCCATTACCAGAGCTACAAGAAAAATGAAAATACAGAACATTTTGATATTATTAGTAATTAGTACTGCTAATGTATGACCTTCTGATTTGGGTACGCCTGCAATTCCTCACCGAGTCTTCAATGTGTGACCTTTACAAAGCATATCACTCTCCTAAGTATAAATGTTGATGGATATCAGTCAGCATGACTACACCAATTGAGCTGTTTCTTACCAACACCGGGTGTTCAAAATGTCCAACCAATCTGTTTTCCCAGGTCTGATGGTCAGCTTTGACACTACGGCAATTGATTTGTTTGGGGCTTTTCTCTCCTGCAGTCATCACTTCTGCTTTGGCATGTTTCAATGTCAAAATACACTGTATAGTAGTAACTGCTGAGGGTGTTGCCTACTTACTTATCACTTGAACTATGTGACTTTAAAATACTGAAGGAGGAGAGGGAAACCAGTTATCCATATTCAAAAGGCCCCTGTGAGGCAAAATGAGTAACAATCCAACACCCTTTTTATGAAAAGAAGTTAGCACAACTCATATCAATTAACAGCAGCGTCAAGATGCACTTGCAGTGTCACAGAAAACGGCAATCTTGCAATCAGAATCCAAGAGTGTGTGATCTTGGAGCGGAAACTAAGTTCTTCTGTTGATCTGTTATGGGCCTCATGGGTAATCGGATCCTTTATCACCGGTAACTGGTCACCCAAAATACCATACAATTTCTCAAGGGTTAAATAGAACTAAAGACAAGCCCTGACAGCATGCTTTGCCCTAAAAATATTTTCAAAACTCTCTTGGACATGCAACATTAACTCAAGTCTTAAGTTATCTACAACACAGTAACTGTAAATGACATTCATTCTCATCTTTTCAAGGCAGAAGTGTACATTAAAGATTCACCAGGTTCCATACACAGACCCTCACTAGTACAGAAGAGATGGTCAAGCCTTGCAGAAATGAGCAGAGGAAAAAGAAAAGGCCCAAACAGGGCTGTCTTCCTGGATATGGAATTTATTATTTAACTCTGGGCAAGGTACTGGAGGTAGAGATTGTCAATGGCACTGAAGTTTCCTAAGAAATCCTAATCCTCCCAGTGTATTTCACTTCCCTACTTGCTGCCCTGAAACATTGACTGTTTTCTTCCACTATTCTCTATTGGACTGATTTTGACTGCAAACCTTTCAGAGCAAGGGCTGCCTTGCCCCCTCCTGCAGTGGCCCCAGAAGGATATCACAGAGTTGTCTGAAACCTGAAGGTGCCAATCACTACAGCTGTTTATGACCTGAAGAGCATTTGGGATCAGTGGGATGCTTGGAGTGTGTATGTCCCCATGGCACTCAGGGTGTTGTACCAGTTCATCAAGATCTGAGACCAGATCAAAACCCCTCCAAGTTCTCTGGCTGAATTAGCAGTAAAAGTCACCCACGTGGTGGCCAGTGCATGGTACATACTTTGTTTGTGTTTAGTATCTCCTCCTATGGCACCCATAAATGGGTTAAAATACCTGCCCTGGGTGTAATGCAGCTCCTGTCTTAAAAACCTGCAAAACAGGAAAGAGCCATGAAAGGGTCCTCTTCTGATCCTCAGTCAGGTCGCTCCATGCAAACGCCCAACAGCTGTTCCCTGCAAGGATCCATGAATGGAGCTGACGAGGTGGGACAGACAGACTCCTGTTCCCAAAGCCTTTTCCTTCCCTGCTCATGTTACTTGAGCTTTTCATAGCAGGGCCAGGGAGGCAGAAAAAACCCCAATGATAACTTTAAGCTTCAGGGGTCAGAGGCTTCTTACTGGCACTAGAAACACAAACTCCATTCATCATTTCGCTCCACTCAGAAATTCATCCGCACAAGGAGACTGGTGGTGTTTAAATTATGAAGAATTCCCCGTGAGTGAGCCAGTTTACCCGTTGGCTGCCGCTTCAAAGACCATGTCTGGTTATGGACTCCTCCCTAAATAATAAACTCCCTTGATGATATTTTCTTACATAAACTCAGCTCAACTGAGACCACCCATGCTCCTTAAGGAAAATAATACTGGTGTCTGCTGAGAAAGTAGAAAGACTGGAATGCTTTAAAGAACAGAACAATTATAAAGCTCTATTAAGTATACAATTAGCTTTGAAAAAGCTGTGTATTTGTGAACAACTAGACAGTAAAGTCCTAGAACACAAAGGAAAAAAGTTTACAGATCTAGTGAAGTATCTGTTAGAGAAAGAATGGTGAATATGAGAAACCTACCAAGCTGGAATGGGAATCTGCAGTGAGAGACGTAAGTAAAAACTGGGTAATATGAAGGACTTAAATCTGAATGGTAATTCTGTAGGAGATAGTATCTCCACAAAAGTTGCAAGATGTCAATTTTTTGTTTGTTTTCACTTCCTTTTCCCTAAATAAAAACAGAAACAATATTCATAGCTTTTCTCTCCTGATTTGGGTATGAATTTTTTTTCTACTTTGAGCACTGCATGTCAATGCTATAATATGCTTTACAGCAGAATATTTTAAATATTCATTCAAATACTCAGCTGCTGAAATAACTGATCATCTACTACTTTAAACAGGAATATAATTAGATCAACACTGAATAAAATACTGTGTACTTCTGAAAAAGCACTGCCTCCAAAATACCTGTTAAGAGGTTTTGCATGGCAGAGACCCTTACAACTAATGAGTTATTCATTTTTTCACCAAACAAAATGGAAATTAAGGCATATTATCCCTTTCAGTGTCTAAGCCTAAGACTTTTTACAGCTATAAAGTGTTGAAACAGAAAAGAAACAACACAGACATTTTCTATCACGCTAAACTACATCATTCTGGTTTTCAAAGGGAGGGAGAAACATTTTAGTAATAGTTCACTAATTCTGGCAAAAATATCCAGAATATAAATCTATATAGCCCTTAACTACAGTAATTACCTTTTAAACATAATTTAGGTTACCTTATTTTTATCAAAGACATTAAACCTATTTCAAGGTATTTCAGAGAGAAGGTGTTCACAGCTGTCATGCAGGCAACCTCTTGCACAGAGCCTACAGAGGTGCAGTGCATGCTCTGGTCCCCACACTGGGAACACAGGGAGCTCCATGTCTGCCTTCTTGGTATGCTAAGTTGTGCTATTAAATTATGGAGACTGCAGTTCAGGGAGGAACAAAGGGGGAGTACAGAAAACCTTAGCAATTAATCATATTCAGTAAAAATAAAGATAGAAAGAGAGGAAACAAATCACTCAAAGCCTAATCACTTCTGTTACGTGCTTTGGAAAGTACAAGGAACCACAGGGTGTTTACAAATGGAGATGCAGTGGAATCCAGTTCTGAAGGCACCTGCTCACTGCAGTCATTTGGACCAAACCTTGCCTCCCCAAAACCGTTTACTGCTGATGTCAACTCATTTATCTGTCATTTGGGCTGCTTATGATAGGTGTCAGTATACAGGTGAAGAAGTTATTTGTTGTATGCTGTAATTCATGACAATTCATGACAGAGCCGAGCACTGTGTGTGCAGGGACACCTCCTGAGAGCTATGAAAGCACCCAGCTCTCAGACACACCTGGGAACCTACCAGTCCTTCAGCGATTCCCTTCCCCTTTCACACCTGCTAACTTCTCTAGCATTGCCATGCACAGTCCTCGCCTGGACTGCAAAATCAGCTGCTTTTAAGGCAATGCTGTGATCTTTCATATAATATCTGCTATCAGCCTAGAGGAAAAGGTAATGGGAGGCAACAGGAATCCAGCCCACAGCCTGACAGCACCCAGATGTGCTGCACTGCAGGAATGGACACTGCCATCACCATGTAAATGATCACTGCCTTTCAAAACTGAACATGATACAAGTCATTAGCTTTCAATCTGTGGGTCTTCTTTGGGTCTGTGGATTACTTCAGACTGGTCCAAATAAAGTACTTCAAAAGCAAGCCTAACTTTTGCTCTCATTCTTACAACAAAGTGAGGGATTACACTTCACTAGAAAATATGCAAGAAACTGGAAGGGAGTTGATAAACCACTGATTGAAGTGGAAAGGGCAAATTTTGTCTCCTGTGATGGCATTATGGCTTCTTTCCTTCTAGAAATGAATGACATCTGGAACATCCACAATACAAACATCTGACCTTTCAGCTCATTTATGAACCCAGAATTGGAAATTTTGTTCTGCTTCCTAGGTAGACTCCAAGGTATTTCTGATATGGGTTATGTCACCCTGGCAGCAAAGCTCAGCCTGATTCTTGGCGTTTCCTGGAAAAACTGGTTTTGCCCACCTGTTTTGAGACTCTCTGGCTCCAAACACGAGCAAGGTTCAGCTACATAGATCTGTGGTGCACAGAGGGCAAATGCCTCGGGAGAGCCCTGCCAGGGAGGACGAAGCCAGGCTGAGGTGAGTAACTGCTGGCTTCTCAGTCCTGGGATTCTGTAAGGCTGGGGTTTGAAGAGAGGCTTCAACAAAATGCTCTCACACTGAGCCACCTCAAGCTCTCTGTTATCAAAACAAAAGTTATGTCTTTCAGTGTGCTGTGTCTTTGCACAGGCTTTCTGTACTTACAATGGGCTTAAGCATTTCATCAGATGCCTTACAAAGGCAACGACAGTTTCAGGTTGGGACAGGAGAGTGCAGTACGTTCATGATTTTATTTCAATCCATCCTAAATGCCATCCCTCCTGAGATCTGACGGCAAGGATCAAAAATGGGTTTTGGAAATCTGTCTTTGTAAAATCAGATTTTACCAAAGAGGACACTTTTTATTTTATGAGATGCATGTTTAACCTTAAAGATGAGTTCCCTTCTTGCCTGGCCAATAAAAAAATCCCAGGAAATTTTTAGGTAATGTGAATCCACACACAGCTTTCACATTTTATTCAGTTGGGTTTTACTCACCTCTGTATCTCTGAATCTGTCCTCATAGTCCAACCTATCCTTCTCTACAGATGTAAGCTTTAACTTCAGAGTGGAAACCTCTGCCATAAGATCCAGCTTCTGAGTTTCAAGGGATGTTCTGCTTAAAAGCTCCTGATTCAAGATAAAGAGGAAGAGAACAGAATTATTCATCCAAGGGGAAGAAATCAGTAATTTTTTTCTCCCTCTTTCATGGGGAAAAGCATCACCCTCTTCCTTGCACTATCTGAAGCCCTGGGACACAGCTATTACCCATCTGACAGACTCCAGGCACCTAGGATGCATCTGAGATCACTGGAGCACTACCATGGGTTGGCTGCCAGGACAAGAAAAAAGCTTGTCTGTCATCACAGTTGCTCTGGGCAGCAAGGAGCTTTGATGGGAATCCACCCATCCTGTCAGAGGCTTTAATCCAAGTCTCTTTGAAGTTCAGTGAGGAAAGGGTCAAAGAAGAGCAGAAACTAGATTCCTGCAGGGTAAAGCAGCACTGACATTACTAAGTACAAATACTTTGTAGTAAATATGGTAGAAAATCATCACTTAGTTAAGAGACATCAAGGGGTGCAACACCTTGATGTGAACTGCTCTCCGTAGCCCTTTGTTAAGACAGAATGAAAACAGACAGCAAGACAGACATAGGGCTGTGAAATACCTGCTGCAGCATCTCTTCTGTGGCATTCAGCTTCTCCCTGTGCTCCTCCAGACAGAACTCTAGATCCCGAATCTTTTCTCCCTGGGCCTCCACCTGGTCCGTAAGTACACTTACCTGCACAGCAGAAAAAAGGGATACACAATTTAGTACCTTGCACCCATGCCAAATGTGTCACCTGGAGAACTGCATGTAATAACAGTGCCAGATGGGCCAAAGATTAAATGGGATCTACGGCAGAGGAGGAGGAGCAGCAGAGCTCTGCAGCGGACACTGTGCATGGCGAAGGTGACAGGAGAGGAGGGAAAGCTCTCCCCTCACACTTACTGGAATTTCAGCCAAAGTTCTGGTGGATGCACTGCAGTTCTGCATCTCACCTCCTGACTTGTCCTGGAAGCTTCCACAAGGGGTGGCTGCTGCATTTTACAGCCAATAATTATGCCTTTGCTGTGACAATACATTAACTAAAACCCACCAGCTCCTACCTTAACAACCAAATAGTTAAACCTCACCGCGTATAATTTATTCTCATTTCCAAGTGACTGCACACAGTGTACCACAGTACATAGCTTCTCCTCTCCAGAAGAATAAAAGCAAAGGAGGCTAAAATGCTCGGACTGAAGTTAGGTAAGACGAAGACAACACCTCTGAGACTGCAGACCGATTCCCAGTTTGCCTTTTCTGAATGAAGCTTTTGTTTTAACCAGGCTTTTTCGAGGAAGTTTTCAGTACTGCTGGGAATGAGAGCAAGCTGCCTAGAGCAGTGCTTGGTGCTGTCACAGACCCTAGACCAGCTCTGTGTTGGGGACAGTAGGATGCCTGTGCAGACCAAGGGCTGTCAGACAGTTCCAGCTCTGATGGCAAGGGTAAGCCAGCTGGCAAGAGCATGGGAGCCTGACCCAGTTCAGCCCAGCAGCAGGTGAGCAGGACCTCCGAGGAGCTGCTCGTCTCTTCCCACCTGTTGGCCAGTACCACAGCTTTTGTCACCTTTCATGAGGACAGGACATCTGTCACCTGATGCAGACAGCATGTGAATGGTCATGGAAGACAGTGATCTGAAGGCTACACACAAATTCAAGGTGGTTGCTCTGCAGACCTGCTCAGCTAAAAAGATTTGGAGATCACATACACACAAAAAAAGGCCTTTAGATTTTTCCTGTAATCTAAACTCACACCTATTCTTAATCTGGTTTAACTCTGAGGTATCAGCAAGCCTTCTGAACCCTGTTCAAGATGACACAACTTCAAATAAATCCTTAGAAGTTTTAATACATACTATTAAAATGTCTTATGAATGCAACAGCAGGAAAAAAAAAAAAAGGTGACTACTCACTTGCAGAACAAGAGATTCCTTATCATTTTCCAGACGAGCCAGCCTTTCTTGATACACATCTCCATTCCCAGATATGTGTCCATTAGTCTGAAAAAGACAGCAAATATTGCATAGTCAGCCATCATACCACGTCATTCATTACTGACGCTCTTAAGCAGTATTTTTAGTCTGAACAGTTCAAGAACAGATTCAAAGTATTCTCCAGCTCCCAAAGGGTTACAAATCAAATATACTGTCAACAAAGCTACAGGACTACCACTCAGGACAAGAATTGTTCAGGGGCTTAAAGATGAGAAACGAAGAACCTTCTGGTGACCTAATTCTGCAAAATTCATTTACTGTGTATTCAGCATTTTGTTAACAAAATTGCGCTCCATGATGTACTATGCTAAGCCATACTTGCAAAGAGACAAATACCCTGAGACGTTCAGCAAGTGAAAAAAAATCAACATACAATCTACAAAATGTGCATTACGCTTCCTGCAAGTCAAACAATTTTTTCTAAACCACACAGTAAGACATCCTTTTACATCAGGCACATTTTATGGGTATGGCTGAATGTCTGCACTCTAAACACATCTTTTTGTAAAGCTGCCTGAGGCTGAAGAGAAACAAGAATACATGTTAATGCTATCAGAGTTCAGAGGAATCAGCAACTTTCTTTCTTCATAATAACTTCAATGCTCTTGAGCAGCAAGAAAGATTTTGCTCTATCCATATTCAAAGCTGTCTCAAAGCACTTTGTGATGGACGTCACAATCAGATGTCAGCTCAGAAAATAAATTCTTGTTCCCATCATTGCATAAATCACTTAGAGGAGTCTGAGAAGCTGCTCTGAAATCCAGCACGCTCAACAGAGTCCCACTGACATTGAGTGGGCCCTGATTTCTTCTGAATGTGCAAGAAACAGGGTAACTGATCCTCGTGACTGGGTGAGTCTGCAGCACATACCTGCCTTGAGAGGCCTCCACCACTTCGGAGTGGCAAGCCCCAGGCTCCTGCTCTGAATCTCCCTTTCAAGCAGCTCATCTCCCCTGATTGCAGAGGATGCCTTGAGAAACCTGCTGGCTAAAAGTCCTTTTCTAAGTTACAGGTCTGGCCTAGGGTGGTGGCAGAAACCATCTCACTGGAAACTGAAATAATACAACTCCCACCAGCACCACTTTGTTAGACACAAAATAAAGAGGAGGGGGTACAAAATATCTGACCTCACCTTAGCGCTCTCAAGAAATCAGGCTGTGTCCTGGCAGCTTTTACATCAGCGTGCAGTAGTAAATGTGTCTGCCAGGCACACATGTGTAACATTTACAAGGGGACCACAGTATCATCCCTGACATCACTAGAGCTAGAGTAGACTAAGAAAGGATGCTCTCTAGTAATTTTCACCGATACCTCATACCATGGTACCCTGCAACTGAATTATTTAGCAGTAAATTACCAGGCCTCCTGACCATCCAGACACTAAGAACCATGCAGAAGTACTCTAAACTTCTGAGTTTGCCCTGTTTTCCCCTGACCTCTACCAGAATTTAGCTCATGCCATAGGATTTCCATTCAAGATCAGTGAGATCTTGAGTTTTGTAACACTTCAGGTGAAAGAAGTTGAAGAGCTTCCAAAAGAAACCTGTTAGCTGCCCAGTGAGCAGATTATGCTTTAAATGTTGTAACTTGACTTGTATGTGAAACACAAAGCTGAGTTTTTTGCATACTTTTGCTATTCTGCAACTCCCTTCTCATCTGAAGTCCTCCAGTACATCTCAGGCACTTACTCAGACTCCATAAGAACAGTGTCTGTATTTTGTAATATACAACACATTTATCAATGCAGTGTGTATCTGAAGAAGGAAAGTGATATTCAGCCCTATTGCAAGCAGGCAGTTGAGATGCAAAGATGCCCCTCCATCCTGCCAGGGCTAACATGAAAGCCCTTATCAAAGCACAGACTCAACTCCCTGCCTCCCAACCACCACATCAGCACCCCAACCACTGAACTGATACTCTAGTCAGCATAACAAGACACAAATTAACTAAAACCAAAAACTGTGTGAAGAAAATATAGGGATGTAAGAACTGGTTTCACACTATGATGGAAACATCCATGATTCTGTGAAACCAATGAGGTGTTAAAAGTAGAATGTTAGTCATGCATCTTGCCAAGACACCTTTGTTGTTAAACTCCACTCACATTTCTCAAAAAAATCCTGTTTTGCTCAGCACATCACACTTGGCTTTAAAATAGGAGCATTTAGAGAGTGGAAGTTCAGTCTGCAGCTGCATATTGCCCTAAGAGGGAGGAGGTGATGGGAACCCCAAAGAGGACTGGTGTAAAGGTTGTTCTTCCACAAAACCAAATACAAAGATGTATTTGCTGTCTCTTGCCAGAAATATTTTGTAAAGTCTGCATAAAAACAGACCTCCTGTAGCACACTGAAAACAGAAACAGTACAATTTAACCGCAGTTTGCTTTCTGCCTGAAATGTTGTAACTTCTGCATAATACGTGGGACTAACTCTTTGTTTTAGGCATGAAAGGGTAAGAAACTCGCTGGCTTTGGTTTCGGTGCAGAAAAAGATGAGAGTTGGAGAAAGGACGACAGAGAAAGGCCATGGCAGCTATTTCAGAGTAGCAGCCCCAGCACCTCCTGCGGTGGTGCAGAGATCAAGGACTGGCAGCAACAGCCACACGATGCCTTTCTGCATCTCTCCTCTGCGCTATCTTCAAAGGCAAAAAGTTGATACCTGGCATGATTTTCTTCCCAGAGAGGTAAGAAAGGAAGAGAGGAGATGAAACACATGGAAGAAAGAACAAGGTAATGACAGCAGTGGGCAGGACTGAGGGGAAACGGAGAGGGAAGATGCCCAAACACTGGATATGGGAAAGCACTGCACCAGGAGACAGGGGAGGGAGCCCCATGGGGAAGGAATTGGCTACAAGGAGGTCTGAAAGATGCCAGGAGACCTGGTGTGTGCAAAACCCGGGTGAGCACCACTCGGTGTGTCCTTCAGGAGTTTCTCTTCAACTGGGGACCTGCAGCCACCCCTGGGACTGAGCCTGCGGAGCAATGGCTCCGCTCTGGGGAGAAACAAAACAAAACAAAAAAGATAAAGAAAAGTAACACCTGCTAGTTCTGGATCAAATCTGTATCATCAAAGTCAATATAGAATTAACATACTTTAGTAGCTGTGTAAGAAAAGCTTTGCCATTTTCCAAAGAAGGCTCTTTTTGATCAACGACTTAGAAACTACCTTCAGTTAAGCAATTAAACTCTTCATGTGTTTTCAATTCAGGGATTAATAGCAAAACACTGTATGGGAAGAGAATGCAGATTTACCAATACCAACCTTAATCCTAAGAACAAAAGAACAGTTGTCATGATGCCACTGAGGCTTTGCAGGAGTTCGAGGCTAAGTATTTACTTAAAATGCTTTATAAGATCAGACCCACTGCACTCAAAAACTTGGCAAAATCAATCCGTGGCTAATCTGTTAAACACATATGTAAGATCTGTCTGCAATCATGCAAGTGTAAAACTCCACACTGCTCTGGAGGGCATTATTCCTGTACTAGGCAGATGCATCACCAAACTGTCACAGTTTGCCTGCCCTCAGTCCTTAATCCCTTTCCCCTGGAAGTGAGTTAGTACTCCAAACCACAGGCAGGTTTCTAATAGCTGCTGTTTTAAAGCTCCTTATAAAAAAAAAAAAAAATAAATTAAAAAAATGTTTCTTCTCAGTTGCTGAATTTTCCTTTCAGAAATAAAGCTCATTTATAGCCTATTGCAGCTGATACCCTCATTTTCCTTCATCTTATCTTCTGCTTTTGAGACAAAATAAGCAGCACAAATTACACTGCTCTTGCTGTTGATGCAATTTGATTTGTATAGAAGGAGCTGCCACTCCACAGCATTATTTTCTTCTATGGCAGATTGCACTGACTGTTTTGACCACTACAGTCCAATCAACAGTTGGGCAAGTGAGCTGTTCCTGACATCTCTTTCTTGACCATCTGGAGTTAAATTAGAGCTCATCAACATGCTTATGTTGCTCAAGATCATTATAATACACATTACCTACGCTTAGTTAAGCACAGCTACTGCTGTTCTGCTTGTTCACTCAGTTTCAGAGAGTCCCCTGCAAGGAGGCTCCTGCAGCCTCTGCCACCTCAACATCACTTGGTGTGCCACGGTGAGAGCTGAAGTATTCACCACCATTTCCCCTGCAATACAGAGCCATGACAGCTTTACCCTCTCTAAGCACAGATTCCCAAATTCATACTGGTCAAATCTGCCTGAACACAACCTGTAGCAGTGTTTACCCAGTCTGTGTGGGAGCACACCACTGCCCTCCCAAATGGGCATCTCCTGCATTTCATGCCTCCCTGCTCATTGCTCTGAATATCTGCAGCCTGCTCCACATGGTCCGGCAGCAGGCAGGCAGACCTGCTGCTAAGCTTTTCCTAAAGTTTACAGATTACTTCCTCCTTACAGAATGAGCAGGGGAAAAAAAAACACAAACCCACTCAAAACCCCCCGCATTCTATTTAAAAGGCTTCACTACAAGAAAAGTGAATTCTGAAAGAAAGCCAGCTTAAGACAGACCTTCGCTCTGAGGAGTTTACCTGAAACATTTTCTCAATGTGAATAACAACAGCGGTTGAATAGGGAAGATGCAACCATTTCAAAATATTCACTGTCTTCAACAGCAGCTCAGCTGGTATCTGATACAAGAGGAAGACAAAATGCTTATTCCCTACCAGCACTGCCCAGCTATAGCTCGTCCCTCGGAGAAATGCAAGAGCCAGAACAAACACAGATAGCCTTACCTTATTTAGCCAGACGCAGTGTCCGTGAATGTCCCAGCTATACTCCATGCTGGTCATGACTATCTTCATGCATTTAAGGACAGGAACGACTGTGGCAGGCAGCCGAGCCTGAGAGCTGCAGCCCCAGCTCCGCAGGTGCCCGCTGTGCCGAGCGGCACTGTCAGGGCTCCTCTGAGCTAGATGGAGAGGGTAAGTGAGGCAGGTTTCCTCGCCTAGCCAAGGATGGAGGCGAACGTGGCACTGGAGAGGAGATGTGGGAAGCAGCA